AATGTTGTAATAAATGTTCTTTTTCAATAACTTGTAAAACCGCTAAAGAAGCGGCACAAGAAACTGGATTACCTCCATACTGAAAAAAATAAAATAAAATTTTTCTTTAAAAATATTAGAAAATGGATAAATAAAGAGAAAACATAATTCCAATAATTATTAAATTATCCAATTTATTTTAAAAATACGGGAAAGATTCAAAATATCCATTTAATTATCCACTCTCATTTATTAAAGAATAATTAACTGTATTAAAATATTCAGCATTTCCACATAATTTATCTGCAATTTCTCTCCGTGTAACAACAGCAGAAACTGGATAACCATTTCCCATTGGTTTGCCCATTGTTAAAATATCAGGAATAAATTCTTAAAATTAAATTGAATATCTATTAATAATTAATTTAGTTGATTGCCGTTATAACCTCAGCACAAGGAATTGACCTATAGTTCAATTCCTATACTTTTGGTGCTATGAAGGGGAATCGATGTATTTTTATATAAATCCCTCCTTCCCACCTTCCTCTCCATTTCCAAATAATTGATGTGCCCAAAAAGCATCTCCAACTCTTCCAAACCCTGTCTGAACTTCATCTACAATCATTAAACCCCCATTATCATGTATCTCTTTAGCTACAGATTGAAAGTATCCTGGAGGCGGGATAATCTGTCCTCCACAACTTTGCAAAGCCTCAGCAAAGAAAGCAGCCAATTTTCTCCCATTTTTGTTTAATTCTTCAAGTAAAACAGAAATGTTTTTTGAATATAATTCTCCGGCATTTTTTAAAGCTTCTGGAGAATTAAGTTCCTCATCTGAAAGACGATATTTGCCTCTATAAACATCTGGAGTTAGGGCCTTTTTTAATTATTTTTTTGAAATTTATAGATAATTCTTGTTACTTACAATATGTACCCATTCAGGTCTTTTTATATTAGCACCATGTTCTGATTTATATGGACTTAATTGTGCCTTAAAAAATAAATTATTATGTTCAAAAATTATCTCATCTGTGTCTTATTATCTTAAATAATGATAAGGGGTTCCCATATATCTCGATTAATGTGTTAATTATTATTTTAAACAGAATTTATATGATCAAATAATCACGTGAAATTTACACAGGGACAGAGGTAGAAAATAAAGATTGCGAGCATTTATCATGCTGTAACTCTTTTATATCTAATCAGAAATCTTTAAACAAACTATATGATCCTTATACCTATTATTTTTAATTTAAAATTCACCGCAGTAGTTATATGCCCATGATAAGCATTTTCTAAAACAATAGCATCATTTCCCCCAGTCCAATCCCTAGCTAACTGTAACGCCAGATCATTAGCCTCAGAACCAGAATTACAATAAAATATTGTATTTAATGAAGGATGTAAAGTATTAATTAAAGCTTTCGAACATTCTCCCAAAATTGGAGAAACAAAACGAATATTACAAGTAGATAAACTACTTTGGGTAGCTATTGCTTGGACAACATGTGGATGACAGTGACCAACATCTTTATGAATAAATATTTAATTGAAAAAAATATTAAGGGAATATGTATTCTAATACTAAATGACAGTATTTACTAATAGCAGTTTTTACAAATAGGGTGGTTATAAAAGGATTTATAGTTGTAAAGATATAATAAGAAATTTTGTTATAAATTTCAATTCTATTGAGTCCAAGGCTGCACGCAACTGAAAAAAATTTCGCAACTCGCAATCCGCAATTGCGTTAGCCCTGATTGAGTCTCTCTTTTTAGTTAAGAGAGACTACTGTATAAATTAATTAGTGAGGAAATAAGAGACTGCTTCTTTTTTTGACGAATTTGTTTGGAAATAAAACTAAAGGACAGACGACAACCACCCCGCTAGCTAAAGAATTTTTAATTGCTAGTATGTAGATATTCAAATATTTTTGAAATAAAAATTTAAAAAACACACGTTGAACATTAGAAATACAGTCAATAAAACGATTTCCTTGTTCATCAAAAATATATTGCATAAAAGCCCTAGAAACAACAAAAGGGTCTGCTGAATAAAATGTTTGGCATTTACTTCTTTAAAAAATAAACCTTTTTAATTTTCAAAATTAATTTTTACCCCAAAAATAAATTTCTTTTTTCGATTAAAGTTGTTTTTGTTTCATTTTCGTTTAATTTTGTTGTTTTTTCCAAAAATTCTTTTTCTTCAATTTTTTTATTTTTAATTACTGCAAAGGCTTCTTTACTTATTTTTGGTTGATTTTCATCTGTAATAGAGCCGTCAATATTTAAATAACCATAAACTACAGCATTCATTTTATATTTAATTTTTTTCTTAAAAATAAATAGTAAAACATGTGTTTTTGAAAAAATAAAATTAAATAACCCCATCTCTTTTTTACTGATAAAAAAATTAATTATCTTTAAAAATTAATTTTTTTTTAATTAAATTGTTATACTTTTAAAGGGTTGGTGAGAGGGGAATGAGATGATTTAAAAAAATTTTTTAAAGAAATTCTAAACCTTCCGGTATTCTTTTATAAATTAAAAATAGAGAAAATGTATCCGGGCTGGGCTAATTTCGCATTTCGAGTTTTGCATCTTTCGCATTTCAGCACAAAAAATTTCGCATTCTGCATTTGCTTTTTATTTTTAGATTTCGCCTAGCCCTGATATGTGTGTAGATTTACAGTTTTTACATATTCTAAAAATACTAAAAAATAAAGTAAAAAAATAAATGTGTGTACTATGTATTTAGTAATATGTACATTCACCAAAAATAATCAACAAACAATAGCCAAAACAATTTATATATTTCCTTTCCATCCTTTCCAATTTTTCGACAATATCTTAATATTTTTCATCGTCTAGCAAGCTTTTCTCGTGGATTTTTTGTTATTTTTCAGGGAAAACCTTTTGAAAGTAGGGAAATTAAAAGAAGAAAAATAATAACAAAAATAAATTCTCAATTAAGTAAAAAAATATTTATAGAGAAAAATAATTAAATTAAATTTTCGAAATTTTTTAATAAAAAAATATTTTTAAATTAAAACTTTTTTTTAAAGTTAAATAACAGAGAATATCTTCCAAAATATATAATGTAAATGCTGAAATAATTACCCTGGGTAATTATTGTTTCTATCTTTCTCTCGCTAGGAGTAATTATTAGGGAATACGTGCTCGATTTGGGGTATATCTAAATTAATTTATTTTTTAATATTAAATCCTAAAATGTGCCAATAATTAAATTTGATAATAATTTTTAAAATATTTTTAAAATTAGTGTAGGAAAACTATGTGGTAATTATTAGAAAAAGTATAATGGACTTATAAATAAAATATTTTAAATTTTAAGACAATCACATGTAGAGTACATTATAGTGTTAAATGTGATTACAAAAGAATGTCAAATAAAAATTAATTACAAAAATATATAGTAGTACATAGTTTGTAAATTAAATTATTTTCCCTAATTAATTTTAGGGGGTATTAATTTTTAATACATACATATCAGGGATGTGCCGAAACAGATTTTAAAAGGCGAAAGACGAAAGGCGAAAAGGCGAAAGTCATTTTAAAAAGCGAAACACGAAAGGCGAAAAGGCGAAAGTCATTTTAAAAAGCGAAAGACGAAAGGCGAAAGACGAAACACCAAAAAAGACGAAAATATGGCGAAAGACGAAAGACGAAAAGGCGAAATAACTGTAATGAGGAAAAATCCCTAGATATCGGTTAAACCAAAGCTTTGGTTAATTAACTATTTTCAAATCTTCTAGCAAATTCTCCTAATCTTGTGATATCATTATTAACCGGTAAATTATGGATATCAGAGGATTCAGAGTGATTTAGGAGGATATCAGAGGATGTATAAGGCAAATTCAAATTTTTATTTTTTCCTATCATTGGAAATCGTCGATTGAGAATATAGTTAACAGATTTTGGGAAATCCAAGGATATCCAAATCCTATGTCCGAAACGGAAATTTCGATATCCGGATCCGTAACTTAAATTTTTAATAAAATACTGAGGTCTTCCTTAATCAGCGCCGCAGGCGAAAATTTTGAAAATATAAGGTGTCTAAGGCACGAAAAATTCACTTTTTAAATTAAAAAAATAATTTTTTGCAAAAAAATAATTTTTTTTTGTAAAAAAATAATTTTTTGCAATTTTTTTTTTCTATTTATAATAAATAAAAATCTTGTCCCTAAATTTTGATTCGAACCTAACAATAATGAATGGACGCTAGTCGAAGTCCAGCAACTTAACCACTTAACCATCAATCACTTTATAGTAAATAAAGAAAATTTTATATATTTATCCCCACTCTTCTCAGTTTTTCTCTTTCTTTTCTTCTCCCAATTACCAACTTTTCCTCACATAACTGTCATTAGGGGTGTATAATATTTTCGCCTTTCGCCCGAAAAAGCGAAAGACGAAAGGCGAAAAGGCGAAAGTCATTTTAAAAAGCGAAACACGAAAGGCGAAAGACGAAACACCAAAAAAGACGAAAATAAGGCGAAAGACGAAAGGCGAAAGACGAAACGGCACACCCCTGATACATATGTAGTTACTGAAGTTTTTGTGTTATTGTTATTAAATACATAATTATTATAGTTATTTATTTCTAATTTAAATTAACAATTGGTAAAACAATATAAATTGGAAATAAATATTGTATCCAATTAACTGAAACAAATAATTAATTATTTTGTTATCATTAAACAATTTATCAATTTTATCAAAGGTGTAAAAGCATTTATTAAACAAAAAATGAGAATAATAGCAAGAATAAATACTGTAAAAACTGTATTAATATCCCTTCCTTAAATAATTACCCCCCTGTATTAGTTACCCCATCCAGCGAAAGGTTGAAACAATAATTACCCAGGGTAGTTAATACAGTTTTTACGATAAACAAAAAATTATTTAAAGTTTATATATTGAAAAAGATTTTAATATCGAACAAATTAAATACATAACACAAATATATACAGTTTAATTATTATTTATCCCATCCATTTATTCTTCATCTTCCAAATCCGGATCTAATTCCAACTCGCTTAGACCATGCAAAGAATAAGTCTTATTATGACGTGATTTGACTTTGCCACTAATTTTGGTTTTCTTTGTATCTGGACTAACTTCTGATCTGTTTAAAAAGAGAATTTAATCAATTATCTACCCTCCTAAAATTGAAGTTCTCCCAAGACTGGGAAGGAATAATTTTAACTCATTCAAGAAAACCCTCCCCCCTTTTTCGTCCCCAACTCTAAATTTCTCACATTTTCCCTCAAAAGGGATTCTGAATCATTCCCTTGTTTAATACTTCATTCAATTTATATTTTACCTTGAAAGACTCGTCTCCGACACTGGCTTCTTCTTTACCGCTTTTTTAGTTTCTTTAGTTGGCCCTTTTTTATTTTTCTTCCCCTTCACGTCCTCATCACTTTTCACTTTCTTCTTTTTCTTCGTCTTCTTGATCTCATGTTCACTTGTCGTCCCCTCCTCGGTCTCCTCTTTTTGTTTGCCTTTTTTGTCGAATATATTTTTGTCGAGATTTTGCAGTGTTTGGTAATCTTCTCCTTCACCTAGGCCTTGCTGATCTTCCCTCTCATCTTTTGTTTTAGGCTTTTGTTGAGGCTTTGTCTTCTTCACGGGAGCCTTTTTCTTCGTTTTCCTGTCATGTTCACTCTTCGTTCCTTCATCATCATCTTCTTCTTCGATCTTTTTCTTTGTCTTCTTTTTAACCTTCTTATCGTATTCGCTCTCATCTGTTTTAATTTCGCTTTTGACGAATATATTTTTATCGAGATTTTGCAGAGTTTGATAGTCAGCCCCTTCTCCAATTCCTTGTTGATCATCTCTTTCGTCCTTTGTTTTCGGCTTTGGGAGAGGCTTTGCCTTTTTCTCGTTTTTCGCAAAGATGTTCTTGTCTAAATTTCCAAGTGTTTTGTATTCTGAACCGCCTCCCATTCCAGCATCATGTTCTTCTTCCTTTAGCTTTGGCAATGGACCCCCAGCTTGGGTTTTGGGACTGCTACCACCTTAAATTGAAATTTTATTAAGGTTTATTTGCTCATTTTTACCTTTCTTCCCTTTGACAAAAATGTTACGATCCAAATTTCCAAGTGTTTGGTAGTCGAGACCTGTGCCCATTCCTTGCTGATCTTTGCGGTCATTCTTCAATTTAGGTTCACTTGCCGGTTCCTTGCTCTTTTTAGGCGGTGATTTAGACGATGGCTTCGAATCTTTGCTAGGCTTTTGAGATGCTTTTTTGTCTTTAGATTTAGGTTTTGACTTTAATTCGGCTTTTGGATGTTCATCGCCTGGAAACCGGGATGATAAAATTTAATGATTTTCAAAAAAATGGACCTGATGCCTTAGCCTTTTTATCCTCAACCACAACTACTTTATCGTGTCGCTTCTGAAAAAAATTTATAACGTGATTCCTATAAAAAATTTCACCTTTTTCTTTTTGCAACAACAGCAGTCGAGAAGTGAGTGAATTGATAGCACAGAGAGAAGAACAACAGCCACAAAGAAGTTTGCGACGGTAGAAGACCACATGAACCATCCACTTGAGCTGGATTGCAACAACATTATTGGCAATTGACACTGGAACGCTGCTTTGAGATTTTTGGACAGGAAGAGATTTATTTTCTCACGAAAAATGTTTTTATAATTAGGTTTTAGAACCATCATTATTGGACTATAAAAGTAGACAATTTCTAGTCAACCCCTAAATCATCTCTAGCAGCAGAACGATTACCCATCACTTCTTCACGCCAGTTCCGGTCTTCGCAAAAGAAATCGTCAGCAACACAACTTCGTCAAGATGTCAGCGTGGCTTTACTTGCTAGCCGCAATCATCATGTTCGTCTCCGGCTTTGTAAGTTTACTAGAACTTTTTTTCGTTATTTTTGTCTACTCGATTATATTTTACTCTTTTTTTAGTACGCCAACACCTATCTGCGCGAAAACTACGGGATCGAGTTCAACAGTGAAGGCATGGCAAAGAGCGAACAAGTAGCAGCAAGTAGCAGCAAACCCAAGGGCAAGAGAGGTGGAGGCTCTAGCCGCTCCAAAGCATCCAAGGGCGCTTCATCCAAGGGAAGGCGAGACAAGAAGAAAGGAGCTGATTCGAAGGCAGGAGCCGGACCTGAAGCAGGAACCGAGTCAAAGAGGGGGAAAAGAGGTGCTCGATCCCATGGCAAGAAGGGTAGCCGCAGCTCGGCGGGACGCCGCTCAGCAAGCCAAGGACCAGCAGCGCGTAAACCGATGGTCTAGAAGAACATGAAGAAAAAAAGATGTGTGAAGCAATCCTCTGAAGCTAGAAAGATATAAAACTTGTGTAAACTCATCCACAATGCTTGTTGTATGTATATATAGAATTCATCCCTATTTTCCCAACTCATTTTCCTATTTGTTGTTGGTATGTACAAATTGTGATGTATAACTCGTTTCCTTGTTTCTTTTTAAATTGTATAGGAATTGCTCGAATATGTGATATATGTATATTGTTCTCAATAAATTATATGTATATAATAATTTTTTTTGAAATTATTTTTGAGTTTAACATCTCATTTTTACTTTCCTTTGTTAAACTAAATTTGAGCCTAAAGTTTAAGGAAAAATGCAAGGAGATTGGGGTTTCCGAAAATTAATGTCATGGCTTGGATGTGATGGTTATTTATTTCCATCAAATACTAAAAATACAGCATCTGAGAGAGGAATAGTATGTACTTGTAAATTGTGTGAAAATTGTTCGACGAGATTGTTTAATGAGCAAGGGACTTCAAAACAGATTCTTACAAGTACTTCTGTTAGTAGGTGTGTTTAAGTTCTTGTAAATAATGGTACATAGATAACTGAAAGCACTTCTTTTTTGAGGCACCTTAATACCGTTATTGAGAGTAAGGTTGTCGGATCCGGATCCAAAAAAGGCCTGATATCCGGATATTTCGGTCGGATATTGGTGCAGGATATCCAAAGATTTCCAACTATCCGCCAACCTTAGTTGAGAAATTTTTAATTATAAAAACTAAATATCTTTTTGTCAATTTCAGAACAAATTCCAAGACGGATTGCAGTACGGAAAGAATTGTGGGATTCAATTATGTGAATGAACCTATTAAATTCAAGAATAGACCAATCAAACTCAGTTTATATCCCAAACAATTAAAATACACTAAAGGAGGAGGTTTCAGACTTATTGAAATTACCAATTTGGGAGAACAACGAATTGTTAGTTTTTAATAAAATCTCTCTAAAAAACCCCTCATTTTATAGGCAATCAAAGTAAAATCAACAAACAAAAAATTGTTTTATGCAAAGCCTGTTTTTGCCTTCATTACATCAAAATCTACCACTTTTATTCACATTTACCGTACAAATTCTGAATCTGAACGTCCCGAGAAAATTGTTATTCATGCTGTTGAAGTGAATTATTTAAATAAAAATTATTAAAAAAAAATTCTTTTTATTTAAAGGTCTCTCATATGGAAACTGATCCAGCCAATTCTTTTAATTCTTTATTAGGCGAAGTTGGGGAACAATTTAATATTGAAATTGAAATTAATGATAAAAATTGATGAAAATAATTAAATAAAATTATAATATTTAATTCTTAATATTTCTTTTGTGTTTTTTATAAAGGATTTTTATTTGTTTTGTTTGTAGATTTTATTTTTTGACAAGATATTTTAAAATATCCAGTATCTCTATTTTTAATTTTCTTTGTGTTGACATTTTTTACAGTTTATACTTACAATTTTGAATTACTGAATAAGGGCGTAGCCTGGGGGCTTTAGATGCTTCTTGGCCTTCTAAGAATTTGGATTCTTGACCTTCCAAGATCAAAAAATTTCAAAATAAAAATATGTACAAAAAATTTGCGTTCGGAACGCCAAAGTAAATGCCATTTTGGCGCACACACAATTCGTCCCCGGAAAGCGACCTCCAGGCTAACTATAAGTGATTGCTACTTGCCATTTTTCGTCGAAATAATTTTACGTATTTTAAAATTATTTTAATAAAAATATTTTTAATATGCACATTTAATTCTAATGCAAGAGGATATTGTTTTTCGTAAATTTTTATTTTGGCTTCGTTATGATGGTTCTAGATTTTCTTCAATGGCAAAAGGTGCAGCACCACATACAGGAGCAAGTGTTTACAAATTATTTGAATCTTGCTTGGCTAGATTATTTGAGGAAGATTGTTCAAAAATTCGTTCAACTACAGTTAGTAGGTAACAAAAAATTTTTTTATTTTTGAGGGATATTCTTTAAAAATTGTTATATCAAACTTCAAATTAATGGGGTGGAGGCTAACTCGAGGAATTCAAATCAAGGAATAGACAGGTTGCGAAACGACAAGTCACGGAATTGCCATCCCACGGAATGACCAAAATACGGAATATTTTAAAAATCAGAATATTTTTAGAAATCCGAATTTTTCAGAATTTTTTAAATTATGTTTTTTAAAATATTCTAATTTGTTAAAAAGTCTTATTTTCTAAGAATATTCAGATTTTTCAAAAAAAATTCCGATTTTTAAAATATTCCGTGATTTGTTAATTCCGTCAGTTGGTCGTTCAGTGATTTGGTAATTCCGCGTCTTGTCCGCTCCGTGAGTTAGCCCGACACGGGAAAAATTGTTATATTTTTGTTCTGTTGCTGCAGAATTCCTCTTTTATTGAATGTTTTGGCTGTAAAAATGCGAAGGGCCCACAAAACAAAAAAGACTGAAAAAAATTGAGAACACATATTTCCCTCAGATTCTAAACATAAGTTAAGTAATTCAAGACTTATCAAATAAAAAATAAAATACCAAAAAAGATCATTCTTTTCAGAACAGATGCCAAAGTACATGCTTTGCGTAGCCCATTTTTGGTTAAACCCCCAAATGAACGTACTTCAATAATTATTCAAAATCCAATTTCTCGATCAAAATTTGTTGATGATTTTAATGGTATTTTTAATAAAAAATTTTGTTAAAAATTATTTTTTAAGATTTAATTAAAAATGTTGGTTTTGAACATTCAATGAAATTGTTGGAAATTACTCCCGTGGCGAAAGGATTTAATCCTAACTTTCATGTCTCTTACAGGTTTTTCTTTTTTCTATTATTTCAACCTATTTTCGTCTTTTTTTTAAATTTTTGCCAAATTTTCCTTAACCTATTCAAAATCTAACTTTACTGATTTTAGTGGTATCTAATAGGGTTGTTGGCGACCGGTTATTAGCCTGTACCCCCGGTTTTCGGTTAATCTAAATTTTAGAAAGCCGTTTTCGGTTTTGAGTTTTAGACATACCGGTTTATTTTTGGGGAATTTTAAATAAAATCACTCATTTTCATAAATTTCCGGTTTTTAAAACGGTTAATTTTTTTTCAAAAAATTTCAAAAATTCCGGTTTTAAAACGGTCGCCAATAACCCTAGATCTAACAGTCAAAAAATTATGGAAAACATTAAAAGAGTAAAAAATTAAAAAAAAATTTTTTATTCCTCCAATTTTAATTTTCAAAAATATTTTTAAAAATTTTTAAGGCGTTATGTTTACCGAATTCGCCGTTTTTATTCAATGGATGCTTATCTGAAAAGTCGACAAACTGACCAACAATCACTCATTGATTTAGCTGAATTTGATTATTCTTGGGCACAACCTCCTTCATTTAATGTTGAAAAAGCTAATGAAATGTGTGCAATATTGAGAAGGCCGGGGTTAAATTATGCTTCATTTTATTTTCACAAAATGGGGGACAGATTAAAAGGAAAAAATTTTAAAACTACAACGGATAGAAGATGGCCGAGACTTTTACAAATTTATAGAGGTTTTTTTTAAATTATGATTTTTATAAATTGTTAAATTTAAGGAGAACCTTATTTTCTACCTGATGAGGATGCCGAATATTTTAATATTGAGTTTGTCGCCCATGGATTTTTGAGGCAACAGGTTGGGATTTTTCCTTTTACATATTTGAATTTAAATTTAATGAGAAAGTTTTGAATTAATTTTGAAAAAATATTTCATTTATACACAGTTTGGTATTTAGATATTTTGCAAGGGCGCTTCTAGGGCCATAGCCCCACCCCTCCCTCTGAATTGGGGAGAAGCGAATATGAGAAAGATGATAAGAAAAATGAAATTTTTTCGCTTACGACCTCCAAATTAAAAAAAATTCACCTGTGGCGTTGAAAAGATTAAATTATTTGTACAGCACAATTTGCGTTCAAAACGCCGTATTTTTGGCGTATACCCTATTTTAGCCCCCCACCTTTTAAATCGACCCCCTGGCTACGCCCTTGATATTTTGTATTACAAATGCTTTCTCGGATTTTTCGATTTTAAATTAGTCACTTTTCTTGTTGAATTTAATTTCTTCCTCTTCTAATTTTTATTTTTTAGATTCGCCGTATGGTTTCACTAATTTCCCTAGCAGCTCGTAAAACAGACCACGCTAAATTTGTTGCAGATTTTCTTCTTAAAGACCCAGACCCAACAAAGTATCATCAAATCGGAATGAAGTTAGCCCCTCCAAATGGACTATTTTTGGCTGATGTCGTTTATGATCCAAGAATGTTTTCGACTCCAATTCCTTTTTATCCAAATGCCTGGGACGAAGAAATAAATGAAGATAATAAATTGGAAAGTGAGGAGGAAGAAGATGATGAAGAGGGGGTTGAATATTACGATGAAAGAGAAGAAAGGTGGCAATTGAAATTACAGGCATTTTAAAATTTTCATAAAATTTAAATTTAATGTATTTATTAGTTTTTTTTTGTTGGACACAAAAATGAAAATTTGAAAAATTGTCACTAAACACTTAAACATTTTCTAAGCATTTATCATAGTTGAACGATATACAGTTTTTGCCATATCACATATCAAAGCCCAAATAGGCTTTGTTGCTCTAAGTCGGCATGCCATTTCAGCCATTGTTGTTGCACTTGCTTGGCTAGCCATATCTCCGTTTTTACTTTCTCTTTGAATTCCAGACATTGATCCGTTAATTTTGCGTCCCTTTGAATTGAATAGATTTAATTGTTAACCCCAGCTACACTCCAAATTTTAAAAAATTTGGAGTTTTTCCAAATTTTTATCCCATTGACGATGATCTATCTACTATTTGCCGAACACTAAGTACTATAAATAACTCCAAAAGAAATCGTTAAGGATTGGCAGATGGTTGTTCTTAGAACTGATTTCTCATATTTTATTATCATCTTTGGAAAACTTCATTCAGTACTTTAAACGGATTCTCTCATCCGAAATGAGTTTATTGTTATCCAAATACCCTTATGAATCAAAGTACCGTATTTTTCCAAATACAGCCCCATGGGGCTGTATTTTTCAACTATCCTCCAGACTGGGGCTGTATTAGAGAATGGGGCTTTATTTGGAAAAAAGGTATATATAATCACATTGTTCTGTCCAATTCTTGTTCCAACACCTCCTCCGGAAAGGCCAGCAATTTTAAGAGATCCTGATTGTTGTCTTGTACTAAATCTGTGTGGTTGCAATGTTCGAAGATTATTTAAAGGTGATTCTTCTAAAGGAGGTAAAATACTTGTAGAAGCTAAAGAATATATATTTTCTGTTTCATTTCCTTTCAATTCCTTCTCTAAAAGAGAATCCCCAACAGTTTCCAATTTCCCCTTCAATGTTGTTAAAGGAGAAAGTGTTGAATCCCCAACAATTTTATGTACAAAAATAGGTTTAGCGGGGATTGAAGGTTCTGATGAAATAATTAGAGGAATTGTGGTTATTTTTTCTTCCTCTATTTTATTGTTTGTTAATTGAATTGTTGTAGTTGTAGGAGGAAAATAAAAGTCTTCTTTTTGTTTTTCTATAGGTTTAAATTCATTATTGTAAAGATTATTACTTTCCTCATTAAATAAATGACATTCTTCTGTCATTCCTTCATTTTTTCTTTTTAAAATATTTAATTGAAATGGAACTCGAGAACTCTGTCCTTCTGAATCTGTAGCTACAACATTTAGACAATATTCGTAAGGTTCTAATAAATCGTCAGACAGGACAATATCACCTAGGAATTGTTTCTTTTAATGCAAAAAGGTGATAGTTTTTATCAAAGTATCATCACTCTTTTCCTAATACCTAGAAAGGTATATCCTGAATCGAAGTTTTTAACAGAGATATCCTCTGAAAGTATTTAAATTTCTTTCATATGTATAATGAGAGATAGACCGAACACCTTTAATTCTTTTAAAAACCACCTGTTGAAGGTACAATACTTAATGTACTATTCATTTCTGTGGTTAATAAAGAATATTTTATTTGTTTATTTGTTGGAGATATAGCTTCCATTCTAGCCAAAACTTTTTGTTTTCCATTTGTTTTAACAGGTAAAGCCAAATTTAATTGATAAAATGGTTGAGAGAAGAAAGGTAAATTAAAATGTTCGGGTAAACCAAATAATAATTCATAAATAAGTTGGGGAATGGCTGGAGAAGCACGCAAGTCGATGAAATTAATTAGGGTTGTCTGAAATATTTTTTAAAATTACATATTTTTTAAAGAAAAATTCTTTCAAGAGTGAATGCCACTTCACCGTCAAAATTTCTTGAATAAAGCGATATTTATCAGTCCTTTAAAGTTTGGACTGATAATTATTTTTATTCTATGCCAAACGGTGAAATACTTCTCTCTCTTCCTCACAACCTTTTCATTACTAATTCTTCCAATCCAAACCAAACTCATATTTATTGGTCTTCTTCCCTGTGGACCTATTTCTGCCACTCTCAAAAGTTTTGCCCCATTCTCAAAAGTTTGCGCAGTTCCAACATTTACTGAAGCAAAAATGGCACCAACACTTGATCTTAAATTTTCATCTTCTTGGGATGTTGAAATAAGTGAAAGACGACGGAGAGCGAAAATACGCGTAAGGAATGAATGCCCATTTATTTGTGGGCGAGATTCTTTTTCCTGCAAACTCATAATTTGTTTTTAAAAACAAAATATTTATTTACTTCAATTAATTGTAGTGTAGTCAATGGAGTTAATGAATTATGTCTTTTGGAAAATAAATATAAAGGAAAGGGGTTAGAATATTCCGAAACAATTAACATTGCATGATTATGTGTAGTCTCGTGAATTAAAAAGAATTTTTGTTCAAATTGACCGGGAGGAAGGAGAGAACCGTCAACAGAAACAACTGAAGAAAAGCTTCGAAAAAGTGCTGATTTCTAATTTAAAAAATAAATTAAAGTAAGGAAGGGAGCTTAATTTTTACTTCAATTTTATATTGTCCATCATCATTATATTCCAAAGAAATATTCAAAAATAAATGAGAAGCCTCCCCAGATTTAATTTGTCCAAAAGAAAGAGATTCTGCCATTCCTTCTCCCTCATTCCCTGATTCTTTTAAACTCTCCAAATTAATTCCATCAATTTTAAAATCAATTGAAGACTGTTTATTTTCGTTTCCAATTAAAGAAAAATTTGGTCGAAGTTCAAGAAGTTGAACCTAAAAAAATTCTTTTAAAAGAAAAAAGAATTCCTTTAACCATTTTTAATGTTGAATATCCAGAATTTATAGCAGAAAGCATTAAACTAAAAGGAGGAGATCCAGGTAAAGAAGTTGGAATTGTTGGTTGTCCAAAAGCTAGTAAACGAAGGGAAGGTTGTGGTAATATTTTAATTGAAGGGGAATTAAGTCTTTGGGCTAATCTTCTTCCTCCAAGTTGGTAAGCAAATGCTAAATCTATCTGAAAAAGGAAAGATTTTTAAAAAGAAAATCTGAGCGTTGACCAAATTTTAGTGTAACTTAAGGAAACATTTTTAGGCTGACTCTTATTTTGAGACAATAATAAAATCCCAATTTCATGGACAGTTTAGAAATAAAATTTTGTAAAGATGATTCACCTAGAGCATTTAAAACGCTTAGGCGGGGGTAAACGATTTAAGAAAGAAAAAGAGAAAGCATTAGTCGATGCCCCAGTAGCTCAGTGGGACTTCAATGGTGCCCCGGTAGCTCAGTCTTCCTATTTGTTGTTATCATCTTCTTGTTTATAATTTCACCCTAACACAATAATTTATTTGTAATAATTTTTATTTAAAGCATCTACTTTTTGCATTATCGGACCAGTTAAACGAAATTCAGGTACGGGTACAACAGTCCATTCAACTCGAAGCCGTTCTCCAGCACTTAAATTCATTGGCTCTTTTTTTGAATTAAAAATAGGTCCAATACGGAATTTTAAATTATTTGATTGGCCAAAACGAAGATTTAATTGAATTGATTCTAATTTATTAATTAATGACTGAAAAAAGAGAGAAAGAAGGATGATATTTAAAATGTTTTTAATTAATTTTAATTTACTTGACGAGCTTGAATGGTGACAGAAATGCTAAAAAAATAAAATAAATATAATTAAAATAAAGAGTGGGGAAATTATAAAAATAAAATTTAGACGAGGGTAATGCAAAGAAATAAATAGAAATATGTATCTTTTATTTCTCTAAAATTTTCAGAATTTTTAGAATTCGAAAATTTGAATTAAAAATTTCAGAATTTAAGTTTCTGAAATTAGAACAGATAATCTCTTTCATTAATTAACCTCTACATAAAAGAATTATCTTAGGTACATAATTATTCGAGCATTAAAATATATTTTGATAATTTACTTGGCTATTCATTTTAGAAAAAGTTTACTTGGCTAGTCAATGTGTATTTTTCTATTTTAAAAATTTTTAATTTTACCTAAATTCCAAACCCTCAATCGGTTCTAACGGCTCAACTTGTACATCAGTCCAAGCTATTTTTTGTTCTTGAATATCCCCTTCAGCCGTCACATTTGTTTTGTCAGAATTAAAAGAAATATTTTCGAAAATTTTATTTAAAACATCTCGAAATAATGAAAATGGATTGTCTGCTCCAAACTTTAAAAAAATATTTTCTTTTTTTTTAATTTTTAGAGGATTACTTGTCTAGTAACAGTTTTTAACCGATCAGAACGAATAATTAATTTTTTTAAATTTTTTATCATTAAATTAGATTCTGTCCCATTTATTAATAAATTTAATTGTCCTCCATTTAAAAGATGTACTAGATAATTCCAAAGTTTAATAAGCTCTTCGGAAGAAGGACGTAAATCTATTATATTAAATTATTTTTTATTTAAAACAAATTTTTAAAAAGCTAAAAATCTATTTTAAAAATAGAGTTTTGTACACTTTTGTTCTTGAAATAATATTTATAAAATAAATTTTGGTTGTAATTTATTAGTTTTTATTGTCTATTTTCGGAATTCCAAGACTTATTATATTTATCGTATAACCTGTATTAATTGCCCTCCCTCAAATAATTACCCCACTTCCATTAATTACCCCATCCAGCGATAGGTTGAAACAATAATTACTCCCCAACAAATGCCTTTAAACACGTTCAAATTTTAAACCTCGTATAATTACCATCACTACTCCCTCCAGCGGGAGGTAGAAACAATAATTACCCAGGGTAGTTATTACAGGATATACGATACCTGACTTGTTTTATTTTTTAAAACTTCCCCAGTAATTTTAACTTATTCCACACACCAAACTTAATCCCCATTTTTAAATATATTTACAACTCCTAAGGATAAGAGTGTTGCCATGTATTCTTTTAAAAATATTCAAAAACCTCCCAGAGAAACATCCAATTCATTCCAATCAACAATAGAACCATTAGGTGAATTTGTACTTATTGCTGTTATAAATTGGTTATAGAAACGTTCAGAAGTGAGTGAATAAATAATTGATTTGGGGAATATTTTCTTAAAAAATATTTTTTAAATTTAAATATTTTTTCAAATTTAAAACTTTTAATTGTTGAAGAAAATCAGCCAAAAGTGTAGGGAAATTTAATAATTGAGCTTCTATAAGGCCCAATGCTGGAAAAAACAATCCAAGTCCGGAACGGAAAGGTTTTGTATAGCCAATCTATTTTTAAAAAATTATTAAAGTAAATTTTAGGAATTTGAATGTTTTTGTTCTAAAATCGTTGATAAAGCCTCGGTACTATGCGTTTATATCCCCACAATTCCGCAAATGTTTGTCCGCAACTTTTTTCATTCTTTCTCCTCATAAAGGTTAGAAACGGTCAAGTTAACCCCCATTTTTTCTTTGCCTTTTTTCTCCTCTCACAAAGATTAAAATGTTCAAGTAAAAATAGAGGAAGACAAATATTCGCTTATAGAAAAATATAAAGGTAAAAATAAGAGAATGTTTAGAAATTACTTCGGTAATAGTTTGTTTGGTACCCCCACCCCTCCATCCCATTTTTCTAATTTGATTGGACCGAAATACGGGCCTATGAACATTTCGAATAAAAAAGTTTGCACAAACAAATACTTAATTGAAGCAGTTCGACGAGATGAGTCAAGTTCGACGAGATGAGTCACAAGATTGGACAAAGTTACGATAAAAGTTATGATACTTGCTCCACCTATGGTTTTTGACCATTTTAGCCATCTATCTCGGTCCACAGGCATTTACGGGAAAAAAGAGTGGTACCGTTTACCTTTTATTACCCTATATATGACATTTTGAGCATTAATTTATGAGGGTGTGGCAAAACGGAAAAGTACCAATGAGGGAGAAAGGAAAGGAAAAATGTAAAATGGTCAGAAAAATGGGGGGGGGGGGTACCAAACAAAAAATACCAAAATAATTTCTAAACATTCTCTTTTTTTACCTTTATATTTTTCTATTTCTACTTGAACATTTTAATCTTTGTGAGAGAAGAAAAAAGGCAAAGAAAAAATGAGGGTTAACATGACCGTTTCTAATCCTTTATGAGGAGAAAGAATGAAAAAAGTTGCGGACAAACATTTGCGGAATTGTGGGGATATAAACGCATAGTACCAAAGCCTCTTTTGGAATTACTACAAGAAACATGTGATATGTTTTGTGTCAAATAAAATATATTGTTTGGAGAATTTAATCTTCAAACTCTATCAAAAGTTTGCCATACATTTAACCATGCCAATATGTCTATTAGGCACACCAAATGTGATTAGAGCCTAACTCATCAAGAAGATTCTAATAAAATTTGCTTGGACTGATTAGAAATAACCGTGGGAGTCATTATAATTAATCACTCTTGATCTAACTAATTAGAAGGAAGTGTTGATTTACTTCCAGTTTCAAGGGTAATAAATCGTTTTATTTACCTGATTAAAAATCTGTCCTTCAATGTGAGGTGCCATTTCTGATTCAATAGGATGTAAAGGGCAATTCCAATCAACTTTTCGAATACATTTAATTAATTTTAGCATTTCTTTTGGACTATTCTTTTCTTTATTACAATTAACTGATAAAAGAATAAATTGGGCGATAGAATGTACTGAAAGTAAGGAATCTGGTATTTGTTTCCACCAATTTTGACAACGAGGGCCTGATGGGTTATAAAGTTGGCGACAAATACGAAGATGAGATAATGCACAATTTTGTAGAATATGGGTTCGAAAACCGAATGGTAGAAGACCTGAAAACGAGAATTAAAACGAGAAGGTCACTTAAGAGAACTTCTCTTTAAAATTCTCTAAAACTTTTAAAGAATTGTCCTCCTATGAGGTATTTTTATCCTTATCAGAAAGAAAAAAAGAGATTCAGTCAAGGAGCCAGGAAAGTCTTAAATCTTGAAGACTCTTCAACTACCTTGTGTCGCGAAAGGCGACAATTAGAATTCAATTTATTTAAGTTTATTTTTTCTAAAATTTATTTTTTCTTTAAATTCCAATCTTTGTTTTTTTTCTAAATCTAAATTATTTTTAACCGCACCTGCTGTCTAGGAAATTCTTTTCTGTTTAAGAAATTTTTTCTATTTCTAACTTTTTAATTAGCCTTCTTTTGTTTCTTTAAGCGCATCTATCTAATTCATTTTTTTGTACCAGCCGCTATTCACTAATTTCTACTTTTTTGCCCACTTTTGGAATGTTGTTTTTCTTAACTTTGTTCACCCGCCTATTTTCCTGGCCTATATAATCTTCCCTCCAAAACCCACATTAGCTTGCTTTTGTCTGTCTCATAAGCTCTGCTCTGTTCTGTTCCATTTCCTTGGTTCACTGGTTGGCTCTTACTTATTGGCTCTATTATTGTTGGCTTGTTTTTAATTATTGGATTTAATTTGATTAATTGGAAAATAAAATTATTTAATTTGTTTGGAAGCTTTTTGTTTGAACTAGGCGATTAGGCTGAAACTTTGAATTTGGTCCCTAGGCTTTACTATATATTTGTTGGTGCAACGGCCGGGAAACCATCCTGGTCTCCGTGTGGAACTTTTTGGAAATTTATTGCTCTGATCTAAATTGGACTGAATTGGCTCGTAAACAATGTCTGGACGTATTCGACGAGGCCTTACCACAGTTCTGGAATCCATACAAGCTTATACGAAGAATGCCACTCAAATTATGAACGAAGAAATAGACGAGGACACAGCTGGAAAATTGGGGGTGGAAAAGGCGAATTTGGAATCTGCCATAGCGCTAATTGCTGAATTAGATGATAAATGGGGCAACTATATAGATAGCCTGGATGCACCGCAAAGAATGGCCGAAGAATCTGTGTACATGAGTTTCCCGCACAAAGCTGGTAGATTTGAGGATGGAAAAGAGGTTCTACTTTTTCAAAGGCACTTTCTGGATCAGAATCAATTTGCTCGTGAGGTTCTAAATATGGTGAAGGAAACAATCAAAAGCTTGGAGCGCTCCCAAACCAACTCTCGACAGTCTGCGCTGAGTGAGAATAACCCTAGTGTGGATTTAAATGAGATAAATAATGCTAGAACAAATAATTTGGATGCTAGGATAAATATTACTGGGATAGAGGATTTGAATGCTAGACTAAATCAGCTGGAAATAAATAATTCAGGGAGGAATAATGCAGGGACGGCTGGATACCACGCGCCTCAACCACGAGTTAACCTTCCCCTACTTCAGTTGCCGCATTTTTCTGGTGACGCAAAAGAATGGCCAACCTTTTGGCAAATGTTCTCATCCACGATCGATAACGAACCAAGCTATGACAATGTGTTAAAGATGAGCTACCTGCTTTCTCTTTTGGATGGACCAGTTCTAAACGTAGTAGCCGGTTACCTTCCGACGAACGAAAATTACCCTCGGGTGGTGGAACTGTTACAATCGCGATATGGAGACACAAGGGCATTGAAGGAAGCATTGCAATCTGAGCTGTATCACCTTGCGCCTGCTAATGATTCAGTAATAGGACTGAGGAAATTCCTGGACACAATTGAGCGTGTTTGCCGACAATTGGGTGATTATGGGATCCAAGATGATTCATGGATTATATTCGCTCTGAAGGAAAAGCTGCCTCGAGGAATATTAGCCAGATTGATTGAAAAGGAAAGAATGGCCGGAAGAATTTGGAAGATTGAGAATTGGAGGTCAGAACTCAACCTGCTCATATCAGTAGAAGAGGAAGTGCAAAGATGTACCGCTAATAAGGAGCCAGAAAGACCGCCGCGAAGAGACGGACGACCATTTTATCAACCCGAGCCTACTCGTTCATTTCCAGTTGCTAGCCAATATAAACCGCTCTGTTGCTCTCTGTGCCAAGAAGGAAACCATTTCCCAAGCGAATGTACTAAATATGGAAATCCAAAAGCAAAAAGGGACCGTTTGTTGGAACAGAACCGTTGTTTGAACTGCCTAAGAGATGGTCACCGAGCTATTGACTGCCCGAACCACCGTCGCTGTAGTAATTGCCAGGGACGACATCATTTTTTTGTATGCTTTTCGCATGATGGAAGTAATCAAACTCAACCTAAATTTGTTGGATCTGCTCAGAGAACGTTCTTTCAGCCTAATCGTGTTGAACCAGTTGCTAGCCCAACACAATTTACTCAGTCAACATGGGAAAGAAGGGATGAACCGCACGCTATTGATCATGGGACAAGATGTGACGCTAACTTGCCAGCGCCTAAAGAAAATTCTGTGGTAGCAACAGTAACGAATGCCAAAAATAAACCAGCTGCGTACCTGATGACAAAAAGATTAATGGTCACTGCTAGAGGCCGTAAAGAACGAATCCCTGTTTATGTATTCTTTGATACTGGAAGCCAGACTAGCTTTGTTTCTCGCCGATTAGTGGAAAAACTAAACCCGCCTAGAGGCCGCGAAGTTGATCAATTGGAGATTCATGGATTTGGAGGAGCTTCGTCCAACCCGCTGAAAATCCGATCACCCACGTACATGCTTAAAATACAAAGAACCGATGGAAATTGGGAAGAAATTGCCCTAAATTGTACCGAAGAAATCGCTACTCCATTTGATATGATAAATTTTGATGAATTCTTCTATAACCGTACTGGAGTTGATAGCTTGGAAATTGTGAGAGAAAAACCAGATATTATGATTGGAATTAAACAATTTTGGAAATTCTTTATATCAAAAGAGAAGCAAATCTTACCAGGCCTGTACTCTATTCAAACCGTTTTTGGAACAATGACCGCTGGCGAAACTAATTTTGGACACAATTCGAACAAGAAATCTATGTCTTTGGTGGCAGTAAATGCGAGTAACAATAAACCTCTCCCAACGCCTGACACTGTTGAAGATTTCCGGAGTATGGAGTCTCCCGTGCAAAATCATGCTAAGGAAGCTGTCGCGCCGTTGCCTTTACGGCCTAATGATTTGGTGGTACCACATGGAGCAATTCCTTTGAAGATTGACTCAGCCGATCAAAACCAGTTAGTAAAACATCCGATAGTTACAGTGGCAAAGGCTAAACTAGCAGCAAGTACATTGGTGGCACTTTGTCTTGTTTGCGTCATGGTCTTTGGTCCAACTGGAAATCGAAAAATGGAAATATGTTGTGATGAATCACCCACTGAGATGCTTTGGACTGATTATCATTCTGTGGCCAAATTTTGGAAAAGCTCGCGAGAAATGTTTCAGACAGAGATGACTTATCCGGCTGTAAATGAATGCACCTTTTGTATCGACCGCCTTGCTGTTCCTTGGGCACTTGTTACTCTAACCGCGTTTTTTGGACTCTGTTCTGTGCTTACTCTTTGTCGATCATGTCATAAAAACTTTCGGGTGATTGTGGCTATTGGAAGGATGGGATGCCAATGCTGGAGATGGACGAAAAGGAAGACTGCTTACACAAGGGCGCGCACCAGAGAAAAAAGTCGAAATAAAAGAGAAAGGTCCACACGTGAACGCTTCACACCCTATGGCCATAGAGGACGAACCGAAATTCACTGCGTCTTCAATCAACCTGCCATACTCACTTTATGGCGCGCGAGACAATCTGATGCAATGATGATCCGAGATGACAAAGAAACAATAGAAGAAAGAAAACAATTGGGGGCCGGGAATGTCGCGAAAGGCGACAATTAGAATTCAATTTATTTAAGTTTATTTTTTCTAAAATTTATTTTTTCTTTAAATTCCAATCTTTGTTTTTTTTCTAAATCTAAATTATTTTTAACCGCACCTGCTGTCTAGGAAATTCTTTTCTGTTTAAGAAATTTTTTCTATTTCTAACTTTTTAATTAGCCTTCTTTTGTTTCTTTAAGCGCATCTATCTAATTCATTTTTTTGTACCAGCCGCTATTCACTAATTTCTACTTTTTTGCCCACTTTTGGAATGTTGTTTTTCTTAACTTTGTTCACCCGCCTATTTTCCTGGCCTATATAATCTTCCCTCCAAAACCCACATTAGCTTGCTTTTGTCTGTCTCATAAGCTCTGCTCTGTTCTGTTCCATTTCCTTGGTTCACTGGTTGGCTCTTACTTATTGGCTCTATTATTGTTGGCTTGTTTTTAATTATTGGATTTAATTTGATTAATTGGAAAATAAAATTATTTAATTTGTTTGGAAGCTTTTTGTTTGAACTAGGCGATTAGGCTGAAACTTTGAATTTGGTCCCTAGGCTTTACTATACCTTGCCCATCCACATTTTCATCTTCTTTTTGATGACAAATTCGGGGAAATTTAAATTGTTGATTATCATTATTTAATATTTTATTATTTTCTTCTTCTTCATTCTCTCCAATATCTTCCTCTTCATTATTTATTTTATTATTTTCTGAAGTTAACAAAAAATATTGAGAGAATTTCAAAATAGCAGGAGAATGTCCAATAGGTTGGGCAGACCAAAAAGGAACAGAAACAGTCATTGCATCACATTTTGTTTCCATTGAAATTTGTTTTAAATTAATTAATTGTCGAAATCCACATCCCAAACAAAGACTTGAATTTAAATTGGACATTGGAAAATCCAAAATTTGGTTATTAGAATTCCATCCAGGCTGGACAGAAACAAAAGAGTTTGTTGATCCTTGGACATAAACAACATCAACAAATTTGGAGAGAGATTGAGGAGTAAAAACAGCTGGACGAAAATGAACAATTGGAGGGGAGAATAATGAAGTCTAGAAGAAAAATTAAATTATTTAGTTAAATTTATTAAGGGTAGAACTTTAAAGAAATGGATGACGAGGTTATAATTAGAGTTAATTAGGTATATTTTTATTTTAATAAAAATTGAATAACGCTATTTTAAAATTATTTTAATTTATTTTAAGTTATCCTGTAATGCTTAATTATTGTTATTTTTTGTTCAAAAAAATCCTGAGTCCCAAACTAACCCAAATTCTAAACAACGACTTGAATCAGAGAAATACATAGTTCGGAAACAGAAAGGTGTTATAATTTTCTCTCCGAATTGGCAAAAAGATGATTAATTAATCCCTTATTTTTGATTAAAAAATAACCAATTTTCACCTCTTCTTTATCTTCAACTCTTTCCACCCCTTGCCATTCAGAATTAAATTGTTTTCCATCAAAAGTAAAATATTGTGAAGGTTTAGGAATTAATTCAACAATAAAAATATTATCTAATGGATTAATTCTAATTAATTTAGTAAATGGAAGGAAATGACGAGAACGGATTTTTAATTGAAAGAGGGAAGCAAAAAGAGGTCCAAACTGTTCTGGAGCTGAAAAAGGAATTTTTTTTAATTTTTCAAAAAATCCAAAACTATTTAAAAGAAGAGTTTTTGCAAAATATTGTTCTCGTTCTTGAGTAAATAATTCAACATCTGTTGAATGTAAAGAATTAGTACCTCCACCAATTCCTTTAACCACCAAAGTAAAGAAAAATAAAGTAGGGTCATTTTCTTGTTTTAAATTGTTTTGTTGAATTCTATATGGAACTGACAGAATTAACTTTAAAAAATAATTATTTTTTAATTAATTATTTAATTTTAAATTAAGAAAGCATGTAAGATATGGTTAAAATAAGGGACAAAAGAAGTATGTATATGTATTCTCCTAAATGGAGGTTAAAGTGAAAGAAAAGTGGTTAACATGTCTCGCAACTGAAAGATCATAGTTGAAATCAAAGAAACGGGGACTGTGCTTAAAATAAAAGAACTAGTTTGGGGTCAATACCAAATAATATCGAGTCAGTATTTTCGGTAATACCAAGGTGAACTGCTACTGAAAATCCTAAAAGTTATTTTTTTTACTTTCATATGAGGTGAAAGTTTCATATATACTTCTCCCTAGGAACAGTCAGAGGTGTCGGAAATCGGAGCTGGAAATTGAAACTGGCTCAAAAGTCGGAATTCGGAAATTGGAATTCCGACCCACCTCTGCCCCTATGTACTACATATCTTAACTAACTAATTTATTAAGTAACTAAATACATTTTCATTTCCTTTAATTAAAAAAGCTCCATCAATATTTCCCCCACTTTCATTCAATATATTTTTGTATTTTTCAATTTCTTCTGATTTTAATTTTAACCAAAATCGCCAATTATTTTGAGAAGGTCGATTAATCCAAATTAATGTAAAGGGTAAAAAAGATTCAGTTTCTTTTAAATTATCTTTTTGTAATTTATTTGATAAATCATTAGGTAAATAAATATTTAACTTTAAAAAATAATTTTAAAAATATTTTTAATAAAAGAATAATTACCGAAATTACATTAAATGGATTTTTGTTTAAATCAACAAATAAACGCTTCGGATTTAATTTAGCTCCAGTAACTGCCTTGATTTCCTCCTTTCCAGGAAATATTAAACCAACAAGTGCTTGTCTGAAAAAGTTTTCTTCATAAAAGTTAATCCCGAAAATAAATTTCGGAGTTTATAAACAACTAATATATGCGGGTTTGGATATAATTTAAGGAGGACTGTCATTAACAATTTAAATTTAATTCAAAAATTACTCTATGGTAAGGCTTTGTCCAGTAGGCATACACATAAATACAACACGTAACGGTATTCGAGCATTATTTTCTTCAGAAATTTCCATATCGCCAAATGATTGGAATTTAAGCTTTAAAAGATAAGTTCCCTATAAAATAATATATAATTTTTAGCCTTAGAATAATTGAGAGGATAGGGTGCTTAAAGCATATAGAAACATTTCAAGGTTTGAGTTAATATAATTATTCTAAATATAAGGCAACCATAAGGAATGATTCTCTCCCTTGTATTTTTCAAATCTAGTTTTCCTATTTATCACAAACCCAAAAAAAACTATTTTTTAATTATCAAAAAATATTTTCAAAACTAACAGGCTTGTCTTGCAACATTTGTAATTTATCATTTTCAACGATAAAAATAAATTCTCTTGGTTCAAGAACTTCAAAACGCCATCCATCCTTACAATCTCCACCCAAAGGGGAAAGTCTTAAAGAGTAATTTAACGTTAAACTTTTGTTATTTTGGTCCCATTCTTTTGGTTGAACTTCGTTTAAATAATCAGTTATTTCTACACGTTCTTGTGTCCATTCAAGCGCATCTGTCTCATCGTGAAGATCACGACTATGTAAATGTTCTTCCAAATCAGAGCCTGGATGTCTGACAGTCTGGATTTTATTAAAGTATTTTGAGTGTAGAAGAAAGAAGAGTTTAGCAGGATACTTGGGAGATTTTGATTTTACATTAATGATTCCAATATAAGGATATTTTAGTCATTATTTTCACTTAAATTATCTCTTGTATTTAACTCCCAAATATCACGGCTTATTCTACTTAAGATTAATAACTAACAATAGCTATTTTCTCTGCAGTGCCCAAATAAGGGTAAAGCAACCGTCTGAAGCAACAAAAACCACCATCACCCTCTTCATCATCCCTTCTACTAGATCGCCCTGTCCAAATTGGCAAATCTTCAAGAAGAACGGGCCTAGCAGAATCGGTAGCATAAATATGAACAAGCAAAGGAAGACTTGAATTAAATGCAAAAGGCGGCTTTTTATTAGAAATACCTTCTATTAAAATTTAGAAATGGTTTATTAAAGGTAAATTTTAATATTTAAATTTTAATATTCCTCCTCTATCTATCCATCAAGTAAATGAAATCTCACTACCAAACTCACTAACTATTAAAAGAATAAGTATAGTCGCAATTAACGAAAACGCTATCAACAAGGGTTGGTATAATAAATACAAAGGTTTAAAAGTGTCTACAAAATAGAGGTCCAATTATTAACACATTTTTAATTTTAACATTTTTACCCCATTTTATTTTTCCACTCAACTCCCTCCCATTTGTCTGATTCACTAATGTTAAACTTCTTTCTAATTCAGCCGAATAGCATGGATTAACTTTAATAGTCCAATTAATTAATTGATGACTTCCAATTTCCTCTCCATCACTTTCTATTTTCAAAGAAATTGAATATGGTTTGCTTCGACCCAATGGACTTTTTTTTGGAAATTAATTTAAAAAATATTTTTAAATACCTAGACCAATAAATTTGTTCCTGAAATGGATCTAATTTTAATCCAGCACCACTTCCTTCTATATCAGATTCTAGACTGAGACGTGTAATTGAAGGGTTAATCTAATATATAATTTAATTTAAAATAGAGACCGGCAAAATCGCATTTGCGGGATCCCGCGGTATAAAAATTTTTTTAAAATCTTTGCGGGACGGGATCCCGCGGGATAAATCCCGCAAAATCCCGCACTCCCGCAAAATCCCGCATTTTAAATTTGCGGGATCCCGCGCGGGATTGCGGGATTTTCCAAAAATCGTTAAAATTATCAATATCTATTGAAAAAATCGATTTCCTAATCATTAACGGTTTCTTAACTCGTACTCGTTGCTCGTACATGTATCATACTTCGACCAATTTACGAGTACAATTTGGTACAACTGTATAATCACTTATCCCAGGTCCCCAATTATCAAAAATCCATAAGCGGCAAGCTCATACATAATATTCGCGGAAAATTTGAATAACGAATTAGAATAGCTTGAGCTGAAACAAATGGGATCAATCATCGTGAGCTAACAATTTGGGCAATTTTGTATTGATGAAATAGAGATGATTCCATGGGCGGCAGGCGAAAATTTTAGAAGGCCAAGTATCGAAATTCCTTCCTTTTCAGCGCCGCAGGCAAGAATTTCGAGATTTTAGGAAGGCCAGTAAGTAAAAATTCACCTTTTTCTAGCGCCGCATGCGAAATTTTTTTTGAGTTTATAAGGTTAGGAGCCAACATCCTCCATTTTCCAAAAATCCCGCAAAATACAAAACATTTTGCGGGATCCCGCGGGATTTTCAAAAAACCTTTGCGGGACGGGATCCCGCGGGATAAATCCCGCAAAATCCCGCATTCCCGCAAAATCCCGCAAATCGCAAAAAAGTGCGGGATTGCGGGACGGGATCCCGCAAAATCCCGCGCGGGATCCCGTCCCGCGCCGGTCTCTAATTTAAAAATAACATTTATTTAATTTTTATTACCTCAATAGGTAATTTAATAATATAGGGAATAAATTCAATTAATTCTTTTTCAATATTTCCATTAAATTTTTGTAATATTGTTGTATTATTTAAAGATAATTTATTAAATGGTTGATCACATTGAAGACCTGTCCTATTAAATGGACATAAACAAAGAGGCCCTAAACAATGGCCTTTGCAAGAAGGTGAACAATTATTAGAGAAAAATGTAAAATGAGTCTGGAAAAATTAAAAAGAAAAATTTGAAAAATTAATTATATGATATTTATAAATTTCATTAAATAATTCACACTTACCTATCACACTAGTCTTTTTCGAGCCAAATATCTTAGGCCCGACTCGATCTTTCGGTCCGAGTCGGCCATTTTGGCAACTCTAATCACAAACAAAACCCATCATAATTCAGCCCCCCCCCCCTTCCCCCCATCAAAATATAGCCAAATGTTCTTAACAACCTTTAAACAATCTAAAACCTTACCGTTGGCCAATCTAGATTATTCGGAACAAATTGTTTGGAATCTAAAGGAATTAATCCAAAAGTTAATTTAGAAGGTCCAATTAAAATATTTTTTGGATATTCACAACGTATAAGAGAAGTACTGATCCATTGACCTCTGACAGAAATTGTTGAACCAAAAACACAAGAATAGTTTACTCTAAAGGAACATAAAATTTTATAAAAATATTTTTTCTAAAAAAACTTTGGAAAATCACTTCCATAAGCGTAAGCAAATTTAGGTAAATCCTCCTTTCCTTCGATACTTAAATTTCCAAAATTTAAGGGCCCTGCTTGGGGTAAAATAAAAGAAAGTTGGGGTTCTGTTGTCTCACATTCCATTCCCAAAACACAAAGTTCACATCCAGCACCTAACCAACCAGGAGAACAAACACATAAACTTTAAATTATTTAAATGTTTTTTTAAAATTAGTTAGAACCCTTTTCTTTCATCACAATATCCATGAATACAAGAAAATTCACAAGAACTTTCGAACAAATGAATATTATTTTCGATTGGTGACACAAGCAAAAGAAAGGAAGACAAAAATAAAACTGTGATTAAAAAATTTTGTTTAAGATAGTATTAAAAATAAATCTCTCGTAATTAGCGACAGGGGAAAAATAAGGGTAAAGTTACTTAATAATTTTGATGGTACAATTTTTTCAATGGTCGAGAAAAGGAGGACACTAACAAAGAAACTAACAATTGCTCGTACAAAGATACAAATAAGAATTTTGGTTCAGTTTGATGTTCCAAAAAATGACACGATTTCCCTTTTAAAGAAAACAATCTTAAAGTAGAGGTACCCATGCCAAAAACTACTATTATATTCCGCCTTTATATCGAGAGATTAGACTATTTTTATAATTATTAAGCCATTTCCATAAGCGTAAACAAATTTAGGTAAATCCTTCTCTTCTTGGATAATTGAATTTCCAAAATTTAAGGGCCTTAACTTTATAATTAAATCATCCTCACCTACTGTAAGTACAACAAAAACAAACGAATTTATTTTCTGTTTAAGCATTCAAATAATTTTTAAGCAATTTTTTCAAATATATAAATAAACATAATAAAAAAATATTCTTAAAAATAATTATTTATTTAAAATGTCTTAAGCATATACTAATTTTAATCTCTTCCCAACATTTTACTGTCCTTTCAAAATAACCCCCTTCCCTCCTTTCACAATCCTCCACTCTCTCTTTTTATTCCAGAATCTCTCAAGTTTCAAAACATTTCCGTACATTCAATTTATCGTCATGGAAACTCTGAGATCTTCAAAATATTTTTAATAGTAAAACTTGGATAAAATTGTGGATAAAAATAGAACAAAATATTTAATACTAATAAATTTTAGTATTTTTTAAAAGAAAATTTTATTATGGCCATACAAAAGGGATTGGAATGCTAAAAATTATAGTTAACTGTAATTGGCAGAAAGATGCTAATGGATACTGACTACATTCTCACTTCCGTTATAACTATAACCAACAGGTAAAATCTCAACCCTTCCAATACTAATTATTTTATTTAACAGATTTCTTTAATCAAATTTATTCCACCTTGGATCAGTTATAAAATTTATTACCGGCAGGCAATACATGTTTTTTACATATTTAATCAGCCCTTTTGCCTCTTTTTAGGGGTTTTCCCCCTTTTTTACCTCCCCGCCCCTTTTTTCAACATTGCCACATTTTTCTCCTTTTTGAGAAGCCATGCCCATTATTTGTGATTTGTAAAGACCACCCTGTATTTAATGAATATTTAATTAATTGACACATCCTAATACTAATTAGGCGATTTAAATTATAATTTAATCCGTAGATAAAAAACATTATAATAATTCATAACTACTAAATACAAAAAATAAATTACTACAAAAAATATGTAAACAACATCGCACAGCAGTTAGTGTCCTTCATCGGCAATCGATTCTCAAATAAATTTTGCCTTTTCATGCATCTTTTTTGCCCTTATTTACCCCCACAAAACCATTCTCTTATTTTTGGCTTTTTCTTTGAAAAATAATTTTTAAAATTTAATTTTTAAGAGAATTTTCACTTTTTATTTATTAAAAACAAAAAAAAATAAATGTCAGATTGCGGGTCATCAAAAAGTTCATTAACAACAACCACAGGGATAATTATTATTGGAGCATTAACAGCATTAAATACAGGCCTTTTTATCCATTTATATAGAAAATATAAAAATATTGGAAATGTTATTTTAAGAATGGAAATGGAAAAGAAAAGAGAAATTGCTTCTTTAAAGTGAGCATTTTCTTTTAAATTATCTTAATCTGTGTAAAGCTTTTATAAAGGAAATGATTAATCCAAGTTTATACACTTTAATGTAGTTGTTTATATTTTTAGAATTTTAAATACCTTATTTCTTCTAAAATAGGCCCCGGGGTTTATTTTTTCGAACGACTCTAGAGGAGGCTTATTTTAGAAGGGGGACCTATTTTAGAGGAAATACGGTAATTTAACGGTACGCCTCAACTGAGTCCCGGACCCTATAACTTATGAAGGATGGTCACTTCTTTTTTTGCACTTGGTACCTTTGGATAGGGCATTAAATAGGCTACAATATACCAAAAATCAAAATTCCTGACCGACTGGTAAAAAAGTTATGATCGATAAAGTGCCGAAAAATCAGATTTTTTTGAAAAAGTTAGTTTTTAGATCATAACTTTTTTCCCAATCAATCGAAAATTTTGATTTTTTGGTATTTTGTAGTCCATCTAATGCTCTATCAAACGGTACCAAAAACATTAAGAATTATCAACCCATACTTGAGTTATAGGGCCGGGACTCAATTGAGCCGGGACTCTGATGAACTGCTCCGTTAAATAATTAAACTATTTGTCTGTACTCTCTCATTATTACTTATAGTCTCTATCTTGTCTGATCTATTTTTTATTCGTGCCCGCTCAACTCATCGAATCCTTAACTCATCGAATCGACCAAAAACGCTCAACTCATCGAATCGGCTAAAATTCCTTAACTCATCGAATCGGCCAAAAACACTCAACTAATCGAATCCTTAACTCATCGAATCCTCAACTCATCGAATCGGCCAAAAACGATCAACTCATCGAATTTTTCCAAAAGGGGACGTTTGAGTCCCCTGTTTTTATTTTTCTCCCGAAAGGGCTAACTGAATCTTTGTTGAAAAAATTTTTTGCTGCTATGGAGGCTAGGAAAAAGGGCTTTTGGGCATAATCGGGGTCTACTGGACTAATTTGGTCCGGTTTTACCCGGTAAAATCTCCAGCATAATTTATTAGGAATGAGATAATGTTTTCAGGAATGAGATAATGTTCTGATAATGTTTTCACTGGCCGGATAAACTTGGATGAGTGCCCGATCAACTAATTAACAAAATTAGTTGAAACCCCAGAAGAAAACAAAAAAAAATAAACAAAACAATAAAAAATCTAAAAAATAAACACGGGGACTCAAACGTCCCCTTTTGGAAAAATTCGATGAGTTGATCGTTTTTGGCCGATTCTATGAGTTGAGGATTCGATGAGTTAAGGATTCGATGAGTTGAGTGTTTTTGGCCGATTCGATGAGTTGAGGATTCGATGAGTTAAGGATTCGATGAGTTGTAGGGTAGCCTTTTTTATTTTATAGGTTAGACACTTTTGTAGATTAAGTTTGTTATTTAAATAATTTTTAATTGTTCATTTCTTTTTCATTTTTACTTCAAATTAATTTTTTAATTCCTTTACTTTAATTCTAAAATATTTTTTTACTTTCTTTTAAGAGCATCTCTAAGTTCCATTCGGCGTTCCTTAAAAGCAATCCAAGCTTCCAGCACTGTATCAGACAGCGAATATCAAGACGCTGTCGAACAAACTTGGGAGGAGAATCGATCTATAGAAAGTAAATCTTTTGATAGGTGGGGGTAATTTTAATTTTTTAAAATAAAATTAATTTTATTTAAAGATTTGTTGAAGCAGAAACAAAGAATCAACTACCCGAAAATAATTGTTCAACAGTAAGAATGGCCAATAAATCGCCTAGTGTGAGTTAATTTTTTGACTAAAATTGATCATTTCCTAATAATTAAAAACTTTCGGCCCTATCCCAAAAGAAGGGTGGAATCGTTTTTTTTTTCATTACCTGCAAGGAAAGGAAAAATGGAGACGGACTGACAGACAAAACACGGACGGACTCGGACAGATAAAACACGAACGGATCCTATACGATTTGTTAATCTTGAAGATTCTGGTCCTGGGATCTAGTAATAACTAGCCCCAAAACCCTTAGGGGTCCGTCCGTGTTTTGGCTATCAGTGTACGTCTGTCTCCATCTTTCCTTTACATTTTTTTCCTTGCACTCCGCCCTTCTTTTGGGATAGGGTCAAACTTTCTAACACGTTAATTCTTGAGTTTTTGGGGTGGTCTTCAAAATTTAATTTAGAAATTCCATCATAATTTTATTAGAAAATGCATATAAATTTGATTGGTAAAATATATTTTGTGTGACACTTTCTTTCTTTTTTTCATTGTCAGCTGCTCTATCAATAACTTTCCTTCTATTCATTTTCCCTTCATCACTTAATTTTCTAGAATTTTCAGTCATTTTCTTTCCTTCGTTCATACTGGAACCTTTTGAATGACTTTTTTCGGCTACCCTACAACTCATCCAATCCTTAACTCATCTAACACTTAACTCATCCACACGGCCAAAAACGCTCAACTCATCCAATCCTCAACTCATCTAATGCTTAACTCATCCACACGCCCAAAAACGCTCAACTCATCCAATCCTCAACTCATCTAATGCTTAACTCATCCACACCCCCAAAAACGCTCAACTCATCAAATCCTTGAAATATCGGCCGGTTGAGTCCCTAGCCGGGTGAGTCCCTGGTCAGTTGAGTCTCAACCGGCCCAAGACTCAACCGGCGGTAATCAACCACTCAAACGGCCGGGACTCAACTGACCAGGGACTTAACCGGCTAGAGACTCAACTGGTCATGGACTCAGACGGCCAGACTCAAACGGCCAGGGACTCAAACGACTGGTACTCAATAGTCTCGTTCCAAAGGATTGGATGAGTTGAGCGTTTTTGGCCGTGTAGATGAGTTAAGCATTAGATGAGTTGAGGATTGGATGAGTTGAGCGTTTTTGGGCGTATGGATGAGTTAAGCATTAGATGAGTTGAGGATTGGATGAGTTGAGCGTTTTTGGCCGTGTGGATGAGTTAAGGAATTTTAGCCGTTTAGATGAGTTGAGCGTTTTTGGGCGTGTGGATGAGTTAAGTATTAGATGAGTTGAGCGGGCACGCTTTTTTCTTTTAATGTTTATAAAATACAATTAACGATATTTTTTTCTTAAATTTATACTAACTTTCTATTGAATTTTAAGTGTTGTTTAAGTATATTTTTGAGTTGATTTGTTCATCAATAATTAAAAATAATTAAAATATTTTCCCTTAATTTTCTAAAATATTTTGTAAATAAAAAATAAATAATGGTATGTTTAAAAAATTCAAAACCCTCTCCGATTCAAAATTCCAAAAAAAATTTTCCTTTAATTTTAGTTTGAGCGTCTTGACAAACTCTACGAGGATGGCCTGTCTGATGAACTTTATGGTGAACTTGTAAAAGTATTTTTAATATTTTAGATTAATTTAATTAATAAATTTTAAGTTGAATAAGGAAGTTGGAGACCAGAATGGAGTTCAAATTCTTTGGCGACTCTCTCGAGTTTGTTACCAATTGGCCTCTTCGTTCGATGATCAGAGTGCAAAGAGGAAGGAATATATGGATGAAGGTTTGGGTTTAAATTAGGGTTGGGGAAGCTGATGTTCGAGTTTTTTTTCGGACCTCATTTTTATCGGGCCGTCCCTATCGAGTCTTTCGGGCTGAAATGCCCTACTCGTTCTTTTAGACAGGACCCCAGCCCTATTTTTAATTAAAAAAGCTCAATTTATGGGAAACAAACATGTTAATATTTTTAAGCTTTTTTGAATTGTCCATTTAATCCGTCACTTTTCAATCTAGATTTGGGGTATTTCCAATTGTTACGCTTTTTTAAATATTGAAGCGATTGAAAATTTTTTTCAAATTTTAAGGTTATAAACATGCTGGTATTGCCTATGAAAAAGAACCGGAGGAATTCGATGTCATCAAATGGTATGCTGCTTGTACTGGGGGTAGAACGGACTTTCTTGGAACGGCAGAGAAGATTAAACAAGGCCATAAGTTCAAAGTATTCCTAATTATATCTAAAATTTTAATTAATAATTTTTAGGAATTAATCGATAAGGCGCTCGCAAAAAGCCCGAAGGATTATGCGGTAATTTTCTTCAGATTAATTTGGAATTGATGTTGGGTCCCATGTTTAAGTTTCCCCGTTGGATTTTTAATCAAAAATGTTTTTAGGTGACTAAATTAGATCGTTTCCTTTGTTTTTTCGAGTTTCTCTCACCTAAAATTATCCTTGTTATTCTCCATTTCTATCAAATTTTTTGCTTAAAATATTTTTATTATTCAGCTTCTTTACATGCGCGGTCGTTTTGCCTACTCGGTTGCTGGTCTCTCGTGGTTTGAAAGGAAGGCGGCAGCGGCGCTTTTCTCTGATCCGCCAAAAGCAACATATGATGAGGCACTCAACGATTTTCTTGCCGTATATAAATTGAAACCTGAATGGGTTGAGAATCTGGTATTTTTGGGTAAATGCTACTTGGCAAAGAATGAAAAGAAGGAGGCGATTAAGTATCTGAAAATGGCTGTTGAGGTTTTTAATTTTTACAAATCTAATTCCAAATCTAAAAATAAAAATTTTTAGATTGGAGAGAAAACTAAATCAAGTGATTGTGAAGAGGATTCGGATGTGAAAGAAGCTAAGGAGTTGCTCAAAAAGTATAAATAAATTAAATTCTGCGAGGCGATATATAATAGGAAACGATCTCTCTCTGTGGGTAAATAAATAAAATAAACATTTCCTTTTCCCTGTTAAATATAAAAAATATACTCTTTATTTCCCTTATTATCCCAGTAATTTTTTGTAAAATAAATGTTGATAAATGTGTTAATTTTTAGACTTTTTAATTTTAGGTAAGAAATTCTGGGGATCTGGAAAAATTTTTATTTAATAAATTAAAAAATAAACGTTTTAAAAATTAAATGCCTTAATAAAAAAAGAATAAAATAAAAATTGAATTGTTTCTAGATTTTTAAAGCCAGCTACAAAAAATAAGAGCAGGAAAGTAGCCGAAACAATCAGAATTATAGTTCTATAAAATGAAAGAAATAAATCGCAATTAGTCGAATCCTGCTAATACGAAGCGTGCCGACATATGAACGGAATTGGCGTGTTGTCAGTCGTGTTAAATGTTTAGTGCCAGTCACTTAATAACCTCAGGAAAACTAAGGGAAAGAGTCCAAAGGAGTAGAAGGCAGCAAATAAGACATATTGCGAACGCCTTTACGGATAAGGAAAGGGCAAGCCAGATATTTATCGAGCACGTATTAGCAGGATTCAACTGTAGAAAAGCTTAAGAATTTGGAATTTTTTAAAACGATTCAAAAAAACTTTTGTTTTAGAGCCGATTCAAGCAAGTTAACAGCCATTGCACTATTATTTTCTTTAAATTCCTTCCATTCATTACTAACTAAAAAGCTGTCTCGCTTAACAGAAATGTATTTAATACACGCCTAAAAATAAAAAAAATTTTTGAAAATAATCTAAAGCCTTACATTTTTGAGTAACGAAAGATTATACAATTCGGCATATTGGCAACGTTTGCTAAAATTACCATTATCTTAAAAACAAAAAAAGTTTTTAGTTACAGCTTATAAAAAATAAATTTCAGAAATTTTCGCCTAGTATCCAAAATATTTCCTCAAAACAGAATATAAATGGGATATTCTGGAGGGAAAATTTAGCCAAGGCTAACTTTTTTTCTAACCGGTTCTGTCCAGCCCTAATTTCGCCGTTATGGATAAATATAAAGAAAATCAAATTAAGTAAATAAAATATATTCTTTGCTTACCAATATTTAATGCCATAAAATTTTCACATTTATCCATCAATTTTAAAACCTCATATTTGTGAGAAATAACAAATAAATCATCAACAAGTTTCTCAAAAATATCTGAATTTTATTAAATAATAAAAAATCTTGAACTTAAAAAAATACTTTCAGCAATTTCACCATTATAGAAATATTCAATCATAGCGCGAAAACATTCTGGAGAAGAATCGACAATTCTTATTTCCCCCTTAAAAATAAATTTTAGTTGAATTTAACCATTTGACATTTCAAGGCTTACATTTTGTGCTTCAGTCATATCCTTTTGTTCAAACATTCTAAGGAATACTTTACTATTTTGTGCCAAAATACACCGATGAACGTTTATGGTTTCCTTTCCGATCTTAAATTTTAATTATTTAAATTTTATTTTGTAAACCTAATTTACTTTAATTAAACAATCAGAAAGTGTTCCTTGTTCAAGCATATTATTAAGTAATTTTTGTGAGGTATTATTAGAAGTTGCTTGATCCCCTTTAAACTCATTATTATCGGGTTGTCTATTATTAGAATAAGGCAAGAAATTGACTTCACAATAAAGCATAATGGAACCTAAAAATATTTTTAAGGAATTTTAATTAAAATTTACCATCTTCACTAAAATGATTAGGCAGTATATTAATAGAACTTTTTCCCGATTCACTTTTATCGTCCAGATCAAATGAATCGCTTAAAATATGGGTTGTTAAATTAAAAACATTATCTTAAAACAACTCACGAAAAAATATTTTCACGCCTACGGCCCACAGAAGCATCTATACAAATTTTTGCCTTTCGAGTAGTAGCTTCACAACCAACATTAACGACCGATAAATAGACACATGTAAATATATGTAAATTATTAAATAATTTTAGATTAGAATACCTGCAGGATAACCATAAGCAAAAAAGTTTGGATAAATTCGTAACTCAATCACAGCTGAGGGAGATTTTGGATCATATAATGGTCTACCTTAAACTATTTTGTAGAAAATTTTTTTTAAACTCACTCGTTAAGCATTGACCATAGTACATTATTTCTTTAAGCTTCACAAAATCAAATATTTTCCATTCAAGTTTGCAAGTAATTACACCAGGCTAGTATTTAAAAAATATCTCAATACTGTTAGCACATATAAAAACCTTTGTTACACTCGAAAACATTATATAATTCAATGGCAAGGTAAAAATATTAATGAATGGTAGTAGAACTATAAACGAGACTAAATAAAATTTTTAGACATCCAAATGTAAGATGCAAGAAATTTAAAACAATCAGAGACCTGTAATTTATAGGCCAATGAAATCAACCCAATAGAAAATGTTTGTTTTTGGAAAGGTTTGGTAAACATAATATGCATAATTAGAAACTACATATTAAATACCACCGTTAAAAGCAAAAGAATGAAAAATTTTTTATTAAATAAATTCAAGTGATTGAATTTTAATCAAATTTATTTAGAAATTAAATATTAAGAGTCAGAAAATTTATTCAAAAATCCCATTTATATATTGCGCAACAATAAAATGCTGCATGAAAAATTGTAAGAGGGATGAAATATTGACAATCTGTCAAAATATAATAAACAAATACATATATTTACTTATTTATGTTTTTTTTTAAATTTAAATAGTATTTTTCTTAAAAGAGATTTGCCCAAATATTGAAAGTGGGAGGCGGGGCAGGAAGTTGTTGAAAAGGAGGAGCTTGTCGAGATGTTGAAGTGGTAGTTTCCGAATGGGTGCTAGAAGTCGAATTTGAAGCTTTTGATCCCTTTTGCTTCGGCTTCCCAGTACTTGAAAATTGAAATTGAAAAGAAAATTAATTTAAATTACGGTTTTTTGCGATTTAAGTATTCCCGAATTTGTCGATCATCTACTTTTTTGCCTCTTTTGCTGTGAGAAGCAGCAGGAGCTCTGTCACTTTGTTTTAAATCACTGTCAATAGGCTCAAAATATTTTTGAAAAGGAGAAACGGCTTCCTCCGATTCATGTAAAGATTCACTCGTATGTTTAAACAACTGAATACGAGGATGTTCAACGTTTCTGTTCTGACGATTTGCATATGAAGAGTTTTCAATCACGCGATTTGGCTGTTCTAAATTTTAAAAAATTTATTTAAAAAAGGATAAAAAGATTTAACCATTTCGTTGTGTCTCGGACAAACCGAACTGCATATTTTTGTTGGTAGAATGACGGAAACCAATAACATCCTGATCATAATCATTAAATGATCCTTTAAAATCAAGTGAGAGTAAAGATGGCGGACAATCGCCATTCCGAAATCCTGTAGTGGTATTTTGTTGAACATTTTGTTGAACACCAAATTGATTATACGATGGCTGGGATGTTGGAGGTTGAAACCTTTTAAATAAAAAAAAGAAAATAAAAATCAAAAAAAGAAAAAATACCATCTTCCAATCGTTTGACTATGTTCCAATTCCGCACTAACTCCTCCAAAGGATTCAATAACTCGTCCACTGTTTTCACAACTTTGTTGAGATGTTTGCTGCTGGCGCTGAACAAAATGACTGTGTTCGTCATTCCGAGCTATCGGCTGAGGATTTTCACCCCAAACGCCAACGCTCACAACGTCTCTTTGCTGATGTTGTTCGAAATGCGAAACAGGTACATGTCCGGTTGGTGGTCTCTGTTGTTGCTGCTGGTGGAAATTTGGCATATTTTGGGGCGGAATTTGTGGAGGAGGCTGACTGAAATGAAGGGGAATCGTAGTATTTGGAACAGGAGCAGATTGACTGTTGACATTCATATTCATGTGAAACGGTGCTGAAATTAAATTCATCAAAGGATTTAAAAAGAAAGAAAAAATAAATAAAAATAATATTTCAAACATACTTTCTATTTGCATTGATGGTGGAATCTGATAAATTTGAGGTTGCGGACAATATTGCTGTGGTTGGCCTAGAGCAGCAGAAACTTGATGATTGTGTGGGGGCAATTGGAATGTTTGCTGTATTTGTTGTAAATAGTGATGCTCCAAAGCAGGAGGCGGTGCACTTAGAGGAGGAATTGTATATTGTTGTGGCTGTTGAAAACCTCCGACAATAACTGACTGAGCCGATTGATGAAATGCAACAGAAGTTATTGGTTGTTGTAGTTGTGCTAAATTTTGATAAACCTCTTGTTGTTGTTGCTGCTGAACAGTTGTTGATGGACATATTTCGGACTGAAAACCGGCAGGAGTAACATCTCCGACCAATCCTGGAACTACAGGTTCATCTTTTACAACTTGTTGCTTTGTGAAACAGTCATCAGCAGTTTCGAATGATTCTTAAATTGCCGATTAAAATAGAAAATTAAAAATCTTTAAAATACTGGTTTGTAATTGTTGATGTGGAGGGGAAACTTTCTTTGCTTGGTCATTTTCCACTGAAAGGTTTGCATTAAGTTGTAAGTTGTCGTATTTCTGCGAAGAATTCGAAACATTAGATTGGTCGCCACCGAAATAACGATCGGGTAATTTGCGCCCATCACCTTTTGAAATGGAATCGCTAATATTGTGTGACGATTGTTGTCTTGATTTGTTATAAGTCGAAGTTTTTGATCCTTTTTGTTTCGTCTTCCCCGAATTATAAAAAACTTGTTGAAAATGGGAAGGTTGTCGAGTCGAAGCATTAGTATCAGAATGCGTACTAGAAGTTGAATTTGATGTTTTTGAACCTTTTTGCTTTGCTCTTGAACTATAAGAATAAAATTTAAGATAAAACGTTTAACATTAATACTTCTTTCTGCGGTTATCTCGCATTTGTCGATCATCTACTTTTTTGCCTCTTTTACCATGAGCAGCAGGAGCTCTGTCATTTTGTTTTAAATCGCTGTCAATAGGCTCAAAATATTTTTGAAAAGGAGAAACGGCTTCCTCCGATTCATGTAAAGATTCACTCGTATGTTTAAACAACTGAATACGTGGATGTTCAACGTTTCTGTTCTGACGATTTGCATATGAAGAGTTTTCAATAACACGATTAGGTTGTTCTAAATTTAAAAAAATTTATTAAAAAAAAATAAAAAAAGATTGAACCATTTCGTTGTGTCTCGGACAAACCAAACTGCATATTTTTGTTCGTAGGATGACGAAAACCAATAACATCCTGATCATAATCATTAAATGATCCTTTAAAATCAAGTGAGAGTAAAGATGGTGGACAATCGCCATTCCGAAATCCTGTAGTGCTATTTTGTTGAACATTCTGTTGAACACCAAATTGATTATACGATGGCTGAGACGTCGGAGGTTGAAACCTTTTAATATTAAAAAAAAGTAAAGTTAAAATCAAAGAAAGAAAAATACCATCTTCCAATCGTTTGACTTTGTTCCAATTCCCCACTACTAACTCCTCCAAAGGATTCAATAACTCGTCCACTGTTTTCACAACTTTGTTGAGATGTTTGCTGCTGGCGCTGAACAAAATGACTGTGTTCGTCATTCCGAGCTATCGGCTGAGGATTTTCGCCCCAGACGCCAACGCTCACAACGTCTCTTTGCTGATGTTGTTCAAAATGCGAAACAGGTACATGTCCGGTTGGTGGTCTCTGTTGTTGCTGCTGGTGGAAATTTGGCATATTTTGGGGCGGAATTTGTGGAGGAGGCTGACTGAAATGAAGGGGAATCGTAGTATTTTGAACAGGAGCAGATTGACTGTTGACATTCATATGAAACGGTGCTAAAATTATATTTAGTTTTGTAAAAGAAAAAATGGGTACACACAATTTTGGGTAATACTTTCGGTAATACCAATAAAATCAAAGAAACCTGAATCAAATGAACAAAGTTATGACGATTAGCTTCAATTCCTTGCAGCGGCCAAAAAATTTTCCAGCGAAGATTTGGCTTCATAATTTTGCTCATTGTCGGAATAAGCAAATCTAACCTATCTAATGACATATCATTCGACTCAGATAGAAGTGCTCTTTCGAATGATAGATAATAAATAATGTCAAGCAAAAAAAAGCTCAAAATGGTCAGGGAAACAGGAAAAAAGGGATTTGAGAAAAGCAAAGTATTACCCAATATTGCGGAAAAAGTCCGTCATAAAAATGAAAGTAAAATTATATGTACCTTCCAATTGATGGGATTGTGGAATTTGATATATTCCTTGTTGATCTTGACGTTGATCCATTTTCTTCAGAATTTGTAGTTGTGTGCAATTTTGTTTGGGATGTCCTAGAATCGATGAAACATGTGGGGGCATTTGGAATGTTTGCTGCATCTGCTGTAAATGCTGATGTTCTAAAGTAGGAGGCGGCGCATTTAGAGAAATTGAAAATTGTTGTAGATTTTGAAGATCTCCGACAAGTTCTGCCTCTGTCGATTGATGAAATGCAGTCGAAGTTATTGGTTGCTGTGGTGAATTTTGAACTTGTTGTTGAACAGTAGTTGAGGGAACAATCCCTAATTGAACATCGGTTGCGGTAACCTCGCCCGTCTCTTCTGAAATAATTGTGGATTCTTCTTTTACAGATTGTTGTGTAGGTAAATTGTCGTCGACAGCTTCTAATTGTTCTAAAATTGGTTATTTTATTAGATTAAAAATTTTTTGAAAGTACCGTTCTGTATTTGTTGCTGCGAAGAGGAATCTTTCTTTATTTGCTCCTTTTCTAATGAAAGTTTTGAAATACGCTGTAGGATGTCGTATTTCTGTGAAGAATTCGAAACAGCAGATTGGCCACCACCACAATAACGAGCGGGTAATTTGCGAGCAGCATTCGGCTTTGGAGCAGATGCGCCAATGTAACCTGTCGGTTTTGGTTGACGAATTAAAGGGATAGGAGCTGATAAGACGTCCGTCTCTGGACTCTTTTTTCCATCCTAATAAATAAAAATAAACAATTTCTTCTCTTAAAATAAATTTTTACTCCTTGAAATTTGGCATTTGCTGCAGTCTCCAACGACGGAAAATCTCGTTCGCTGGAGCATCTCTGTTGTTGAACAGCTAGGTCCTGGTTCACATTCTGCTTTGTAATCACTCGTGGGGCAGACTCTGTTGGAGTGGCAAATTGAGAAGATGGACAAGAAGTAGCTGTGGTGTGGCCTGAAGCTGATTTTGCCCAAGTGGGACGAAGATCGTGGCCAGCTCCTGCAGCATTTGCAGAACTGAATGAAGAGATTCTCGAGTCCAAAGAGACATTCTAGTTAAAAAATATATAAAGTATTTTGAAATTTTTGAAAAATTCTAACGGTAAATTATAATTATTTTGTGTCCATTTATAATTTTATTTTAAGGAGTTAAAAACTTAAAGATACTTTTGCAATCTTTTCTAATGAAGATTGTCCAGTATTGCCTTCTGGTGCCCCTACAATGGGCGTTGCAGATTTTGAATTCCATCCTGTTCCTCCTTGTGGCACAATGACTATACTTGGATCTTGACCATGTTCGGATTTTAAGGAAGGTAAAGTTGCAGGTGGAGGCATTCGCCTAACAATATTTTTTGTTCCAATTGTTGCTCCATGTTTATTATCTAATTTACACATTAAAAAATAAAAAAAAAATAAAAAAAAAAGAAACCGTTTCCTTTATTCCCACCCGCCACTTGGGCGGTGGTACTTCTGCCTGTAATACCACTATTTACCAGCGCCCGTGATTTGTTTGTGCCAGCGCCAGTGGCGCCTCTATTTGACATAATATTTGTTGTATTACTTGTTTTTTGATGTTGTTGAAAGTGATAATCTCCAGCTTAAGCTAAAGAGAAAATGAAATTAATTTTAAAAGTAATACAAAAAACCTTTAAATTGACTAGATTAAAATCCAAAAATAAATAGGACAGAGAACGAAGCCGAAGAATTTTGATTGCTTTTCCGGTACCTTTTTTGAAGACAAAGAAGAAAATTCCCAATTCAAAATTAAATTCTTAAAATAAAAATATTATGAAAAGTAAAATTGGCAATCCCGGAGAATTGGGGTCACTGCGAAAAAAAAAGTATAAACATAGGACGACAATGTCCGGGGTAAATTCCGAATTCGGGTTCTGGATTCGACTTTTTCATTTCTCCGGGATTGCCGTAAAATTTAAAGAAAAACTTACAAATTTGATGAAGAGCAGAACAAGCTGATTTTAGATCAAAATGATAAATAAAATACTATACAGAGTGAATTTCAAGAAAAAATCTAAAAGAATTGTATTAAAGATTAAAAATGAAAAAGAATTACGAAATAATTTCTTGAAGAAATTAAACAGTAAAATTTAATAAAAAAATGGTCAGACAAGATTTGTTGCAATGGCTAGTTTTTGGTAAGGATTGACCTAACTATTCGGACGAAGGAATCAAATAGACCATCAAAGCAGCCTTGTTAGCTTACACTTTAGCGACGAAAAGGACGATTGAGTCAAAAATAAGTTTACGGAAAATTCCTCGCCTAACGAGATTTTTACAGATTAAGAAAAAAATATTGATAATTTAGTAAATATCTATAACGAAAAATACATAATAAATGCTTCAATTTTGTCAAGAAAATAAAAAAATACGCGAAACTTCACAGGTGAGAATTAATTGTCTAGACTCGAGTGATTCTATCTAATGCGCAGTAAAGAGAGATTTTCTCTATCCTCTCCTAACGAGAGATATCGACTTTCTAGACATGCACAAAACCTCACAATATAAGACCGACAAAATGGTACATAATGGTCAAACTTTAAATTTAATGTCTGTCCAACATAAGAAAATGGGACACGCCCGGCAAAGCAGGCGCAAAGCCATTACTTGCAGAAAAATTTTTGGCCCTTATAAATTTCTGAATCAATCTCTTTAGCTCGATGAGAGGAATCGTTCAATACTAAATTTGGTAAGAATCGGAAATCTTGAAGCAAGTTATCTAGACGCCGTTATGGCCGTGCGCCTACTTGGGCTGTATCCAAGAAAAATTTACTAGATGGCATTATAAATTTGTCATTAGATGGCATTTTGTCAGATGACGAATTTAACCTGGCCCAAAGTAGGTCAGAAATATCTATAATTCTCTCATCCATAAATATTTTCTCTTTTTTTCTTTTCCTTTAACACAGAGATTTTGCGGGTAGGGGATCATTGTGTACCGGCCGTTTGTGTACCTGGCCATATTTTGGGCCATAACTTTTTCGATTCTTAATTAATCTAAATAACTAATATATCAATTGAAAGCCCTGGATGTGAGGAATATTTTCGCCAACAGGATTGATTTGATCAGATCATCATACAAAAAGCTACAGACAGATAAAGATCAAAATCACGATTGAGCGCATTTATCGAGATATAACTTTTTATAACATGATCTGATCAAATCAATCCTGTTGGCGAAAATAATCCTCACATCCAGGGCTTTCGATTGATATAATAATAATTTAAGTCGGTTAAGAGTCAAAAAAGTTATGGCCCAAAATATGGCCAGGTACACAAACGGCCGGTACACAAGTGGGACGTTCCGAGATTTTGCGGAAAAGTTCAATATCTCTAAATTTAAAATATCTAAATGAATAAATGTCCAATATAAAAATGTCCTAATTAAATAATGCCCATAACAATTAAAAATGTCCATAAATTGTTCAAAAATTTTTCCATTTAAAAGGAGCTGTAAAGAAATTGTCTTTTTCTTTCAAATACATGAGTTTTTTGTTTTTGGAATTTTTTAATTACGTATAGGCATCTTTGTTTTTTTCTTCAGATTTTTCAGATTTACATTTACGTAAAAGTTTTACGTTGATGTGTAGTTTATGTGAAGGATGAGAAAATATCAAAAATAGCTTCTTCTTCTTACGTTAAGATATTAATAAAATACATATAATTAAGCCTAATTAACTGCATATTGGAGTTTTAATGTCTACAAAAGCTGTCAATATTTAATTGTTCCCAAACTCCTTTATTATTATTTATCATTGTTATCTCTTACTATTTTTTTATAAATTCAATTTATGCTTTTATTTGGGAAATATAATTTTAATATTTTTTAATTATCAAGAAAACTTTTAATTTTTTAATTAAAATATATGTACAACATTATTATTATTTTCCAACTAATAATAAACAAATATATCAACTGTTGTTTACCAGTTTCTTTTTCTAGCTTATATATTTGTGTATATATTCATGTCATTTCTTCATCTGGCCTTTTGCTCTAAAAATTTCTTTACTCTCGGCTTTTCTGTTTGCATTTGTATAAATATTTATATTTATTTATTACCAAACAATTTTTAAGTAATTATTAAATGTGAATGGAATATTTAATAAAAATAATGTTAGCATATCGTTATCGAAAAGGTGGGGAATGTCCTGTAGATATATGTATTGACATATATAAATGTGTTCATTACTTTTTTGGGTGAAAACTTTCGGTGCTTTTGTAACGGTAGATACCGGGGATGTCACCTGAGAAAAAAGTTGGGTCGGGTTTCGGATAAACCGTGACATCCCTGGTAGATACTATTATATATAAATGCCCTGAGTCAGCGCATTAAGATTACAAGGCATGGAAAGTTTTTACCATCTATAGAATTTTTTTATAGCACCACAAGCAAAAATATTTCAAAAATATAATTTCACGTTGGAACAAGAAATTGACTTTCTCAATACTTCATTCTTTTTTGGATAGCTAAAAAGCTTTTTTTACTTTTTAAATTTTATTTTTAGCCCTAATTTTACTTTTTTTTTAAAAAATTTTTTCCTCTTAATTAATAACTTTTCAATAAATTTTGTAATAAATTTCTTATTGCCTTTATTATTTAAAATAATTTTAAGCATTTTATGAAATTTAAAAATTAATTTTAAAAAAATAAAAATGTGTTTAAATAAATTACACAAGCATTTTCTTTCTCTCGAGGATTCACCAATTTATGTAATAGACTAAATGTCATTAGCCTTCACCTTCCCAGCTTGCAAAGATCAAACAAAAATTAAATAAAAACTTCAATATATTTATTTTATTTTTAGCCCTAATTTTACTTTTTAAAAAATCTTTTCCTCTTAATTAATAACTTTTCTCTTAAATAAAATTTTTCTGAATTGTTAAGTATTCTTTTTTCAACATTTTAATCAATTTTCTTATTTACAAAAGATTCTTATGATCAAAATTATTAAAATACTCTCAAAATTAGATAAACCTTCATTTTATTAGATGCGGATAATTAGTGGCCGTTTTTTAAATTAAATTTTTAGGGGAGTTTTTTCACAAATATTCTTTTTTGTCGAAATTTGAATTTCGCCCTTTTTGAAAAAGTTGGACCTTTCTGATTAAAAATTCGGCATTGTACCCTCCTGATTTTGAAAAGCTTTCGAATGATACATGTTTCTTAAATTTTGTTGCCCATTGTGTGGGGGTCCTCAATTTAAGATTAACCCTATTTTTTAATTGGATTTTTCAATGTTTAATATCAACCAAGATCAAAAATAATTTATATCCTTTAAAAGTTATTATATTATTCATATCAACTCCAATGGATGGGTAAAGATTTTCCTTTATTTTAGCTTTATATCCTGTTAATATTACAACCTTTTTAAAATAAAAATATTAATAATATTTTTTTCAGAAATTTATTAAAATTCAATCAGACAAGTGCTATTAAATGTGGAACCTAAATTTACTAAAAAAATCTGTTAATTTTAAATTATCTTCCTAAAAAATACTTTCAATATTTTAAATTAAAAATATCCAATTTAAATTAATAATTATTAATTGTTTGTCTTGGAATTTTTAAATTTATCATTTTTTTTAGCATTTATTGCCCTTTTAATAACCAAAAAAGGAATTTTTAAAAATTCCTTTTTTAAATTCAACAATTTATTATTTTTTAAATTATTCATCACATGCAAGTTCATTTTTTTATTTTTATTACTCTTTTGAAAAGAATTCTTAAACACATCCAAAAATAATAAAATCACATATTTCTTGTTGAATTTTTATATTTAATAAATATCTTCCCTTTTTGTTAATAAAAAATTAATTAACAAAAGGTATTCTTAATTTAAATAAAAAAAACTACACAATAATTAATTTTGTTTAAATTAGGTAAAAAATTTTGTTAGAGTTTATAATGAGACAAGGATAAGAGAAAAGAATAGGGTTGTTTTCCAACGAGGGAGGGGGGGGGCACGGGGTACAATTTTCGGGGGGGGGGGGCGGGAATTTTCAAAAAAATTTCCCAAATTCCCTAACTTTCAGGTACGGGGATGGGGAACAATTTTAGAAATGAATCGAGAATTTTTTTGAATTCTCATAACTGTTTAGTCCTAATATTTTTCTAAATTCTAAAATTATTTCCTTTTCTTTTTCTTCATAATTTTACATTAATTTAAATATTTCTTTTCAAATAAATTTTTAAATAAAAAAATATATTTTTATTTTCGCTTTTATTTAAAATAAATGTTCACAGTGTGAATGTTTGTATGCGCAGAATAAATAGACTTTCAATGAGTGAGACAGCTGCTGCCTGTGGCCATTAATATTCTTTTGAATGTTTTATATTTTCCGCTCATTGCATTTCCGCTTCTTTTTTATTCAATATATTTTTATTCCAAAATTTTTTTCTATCCAGAGAGGAGGGAAGGAGGACTAACTAAACACACTTTTACCTTTCTATAATTTTGACTGCTTCATTGGAGTGCGCGGCCTTTAATTACAATTATTTTTCTGTACATTTAAAAAAATTAGATTTGTAATTTTTAAAAATCTGTGTGGGAGGGAATGTGGCAAGATAAATAAAATTAAATAAAAAATATTTTAAATAATTATTTTTTTAATAAATATCACTTTCTAAAATTATAATCCCTTTTTCTCCAGTTATTTTAAATATCAACAAACTAGCATTTAATAAATATTTATTAACAACTTGTTAATTAACAATCAAAAAATTATTTTTTAAATGCTCCTTTTCAAAAATATTTTTTATAATTTTTTTCTAATTTTGAGCTCTCTATTTTTAATAAATTCTCAAGAAAAAGAAACACCAATTAAAAGTTTGTTTTAATAAAATAAATTTACAAGTACTCATTTTTCAACTTAATTAAAAAAGGGCAGCAGAAACTTATTTTAATTAAATAAATTTAAAAGTTATATTTGTTTAAGCTTAATTATTGTTGAAAGATTAAGTTAGTTCAAAAATTATGGTTGTCGAGATTAAAATTTCAAAATATCGGCCTAGAATTTCAATCAATCCTAAAATACGGTCTCTAGTCATGATAAATTTTCTAAATATTTCCTTGACCTGGGTAATTATTATTTCTATCTCCCGTCTGAGAAATAATTAATCTAGGGAGAGCACTTATTCTAGCTTTGAAATTAGATGGAGGTAATTAATTATTCTTTCAACCTATCGCTCGAGGGATAATAAATATAAGTGTGCTAATGAAGGAGGGCAATTAATACAGTTATTCTTCTTCACCTCAAAATTTTTTACTTAAAATATTTCTTTCAGATTGTGGTCATCAAATTAACAATCTTGGAGGTCGAATTTCCCTCGATGGTCAAGAATCATTAATTGGCCACGAAATAGAGTGTATTTGGTTAATTAATATTGGCCAAAAATTCTCTCAAAATTTTTCTTTTCCAACTTCCACCGATTTTCCACATTTTGACTATATTTCTCTTCGAGTTGATAAATTCTATTTGAAAGGAGAAAATTTAAAATTAGAAATTAGAGAAGGAAGTAATTCTGAAGGAAATATTTTAGTTGAATTTGAAGGGGAACAAACAACTAAACAATTAATACAAAAACAGTCTGAACAAGGATTCGAAATTTCTTCATTAAATGTTGATAATAAAGAAAATGGATTTTATGTTAAATTAACAGGAAAAATTGAAAATATGTACATAAGTTTATTTTTTAAAAATTAATTTTTGGGAAGAAAAAAATCCTCGCCTAAGGATTTTTGTAAAAATACTACATATTTAGTTTAGCTTTTAGCCTGAGAATTTCGAAAATAAAATAAAATCTGGCGTTTACATTAAGCTCTTTTTAAAATTAACTTTATTAAAACTTCCGATAAAATTTTTATTTCATATTTCTCTCTTTTTCAGTTCAGGATTGAGTATACCCTATTCTTATTTTTATCATTGGCCAGCCTCGCCATGTGCCTCTGCTGATGAATTTTATTGTGATAATCATAAATGTATTTCTAGTATTTTACGTTGTGATGGTTATGATCATTGTGGTGATTCTAGTGATGAAATGTGTAAAGGAGGAGAAATACATATTGAATAGTAATTATTTGAATTTAATTTTGTAGGGGTGCTACAGCTAGTTATTAAATTATTTTAATTATTAGCCTGAAAACCTGCAAAATATTGAGTCAGTTAAGGACTTTGACATTACAAATCGAGCCGATCTATAGTATTCCCTTGGTTTTCCAATTATCTCCATCCCTTCATCCTTTCAAAAAATAATTTTTAAATTTTTCATTCTGAAATTTTAAATCATTTCAGTGATCCTTTATGGAAAAGTGCAGTTTTAACCGTTGTTTTTGCTTTATTAGCTTTATTGTTACTTACACTTTTAATGGTTTTGCTTGTTTCTCGCACTGCTCGTCGCCATTTAATTCATTCATTACCTTCACGTTCAACTCAATGTATTAATCGAAATCAAAGAAGGAGGGGGAGAAGAGAAGCTTCTGCTGTAACTGCAAGTATTGGAAATAATCAACGGGTGGCTAATTGTTGTCAGGGTTAGAAAAAAAGATTTTTAAAATTAAAAAATATTAATAAATTAATTAAATTTAAACAAGATTGTTATTTTCTTAAAACAATGTCTGATAGTATGACGATAGACTGTTATAGTTTTGGGGGGCCAAAACAATGGGAATCGACTTCATAAAAAAATTTTACAAGAAATTATAACATTCTTTAATTTATTTAATAAAAAATAATAATTTAGGTACAGGAGGGAGATTAATGCCAGGTATTACTCATCACCAAAATTGTTCACATTTTAACAATTCACTCATTAATAATTGTCAACATCCAGCAATTCAAACACTTGGAGATAGGAGATTTTATTTATTTCCTTCAGATAGAGCACCTATTAGTTTAATTGAAGCTCCTCCAACTTATCAGGATGCTCTTAAACATCCAAAAGTAATCAGCTTGTTTGGGGGCTTTACTGACCAGGAATGGGCAGGATTACACGAAACCCGATCCGAAGAAAATTTCGGAAGCCCGACCCGAAACCTGTATTTTTCTATCCCTTGCCCATTTCTGCTACTTTGCTTCCTTATCTATAAAAGTTTTTTCAAGTTCACAGCCCCTCCAGCTCGTAATTCTCGACATCTTGTACATCCAACTACTGACAGACCAGAAATTTCTGATTTTCAAAATTTAAATTTTCGATTATCTCCAAATGAATTACAAATGGAATTTGAAGAAATTGAAAGGGAAAATGAAAGGATTAGGTGGTTACAAATGAATGAAAATGGAATTGAAGAGGATGAAGAGGTAATTGAAAGAAATGAAGGAAGGGAAGAAGAAGAAGTAAACAATAAAGAAGAAGAATTACCCCAAACAATTAATTTAGTGGATGAATTTGAAGAAATTAATTTAAATGATGATGATGAAGATGGAAAAAGTAAAAAAGAAGAAAAGTGTGAAGAAGAATGTTGTTATATTTCTGGGCCTAGGTTGGTTGAGAGGGGATTTATGTGGAGTTTTACCTAAAATAAGTATCCATGTAGAGTTGTTTGAAAATTTTTGTTTTTTCAAAAATAACTGACAAAATTAAATATTTTCGAAATAATTTTTGTTACTCTTATGTTATTCGCCCCCCATTTCCCTTTTCTTCGAATTTGAGCGACTATATTAATTATTTAATACTTAATCCAATCCGAATGAATAATATCATTCGAAAGCTTTTGAGAAGCGCTACCTTTTTCCCAACTTTTAGATGTTGATTAGTTAATTCTAAAATTTTTAGTACATCCAAAAATGATGAAGGAAATGAAAATTCTAAAAAAGAAGAAAATAATAATAATATTTCAACAAATTTAAGCAAAATATTTAAAAAAGAAATTATTAATTCAAAAGAAAAATGTGAAGAAAATAAAAGAAGTATTACAAATATAATAAGGCCATCAAGTGCCCGTTCAAGTAAAATTTTGAATGGAGAAAATAATTATAGAATGCAAAACAGTTTTTGAATTTTCAATTTTTTGTTTTTAAATTAAATGCTCAAAAATTTGTATATTGAATATCTACAGTTATTTAAATTGTTATTAAATAAATGGAGAATTTAGCAGCTTTTAATTGGGGTTTTCGATCAGAGACTTTTCTATCAGAACATAAATTATACATAAATATTTCTTATCTTGTTTGGCATGTTTCAATTTCGAGAAATTAAAATAAATGAAATAAATATATGTCCTTGGATAATGTAAGGATGAGCATTTAAAATGCTTAGGTGGGGGCTCCTGTATATGATGAGCGAAAGCGCCTAACTATAACTACGAGAAGGCGAAACTTTTCCTAAACTTTCTATAAATGTATTCCGTCAGATATACCAAATCCAGATTTGGTTAGATAATATTTCAAACAAGATAAGAACTAAGCTTTTTAATTATATGTATATGGAATGTGTAATTAACGTTTTAACAAAGGTTAAAGGCTCTAAATTTATTTGAACACCCTAAATACTTTATTCAACTTACAAATAATTCTCCAAATATTTTTATTTTGAATAAATTTTTTAAACTTTTATTTTTAAGATTAATTAAAAAATAAGAATCTAACTTTATTTATATTTATCTTTTTCAATAAATCAAAGTATAAAAAATGGTTGTGGCGGAAATCTTTAAAAATTAAATAAATATATCCAATTACAAACCTTTTTTTATCTTCTGATCAACTTTGTTTTTTTTTTGAAATTTTTTTAAATAAAAACATTTTTTTATTTAATTTTGTTAAAGAAAGAGGAATCGTTTATTTATTTAATGTTTAACCTCAACCTCAACTTCCCTTTTTTCCAGCTTCCAACTTAATACTGATTAATCAAGGTATTTTTTGATTTTTAAAACTTTTCTTGATCCAAACCAAGTATGGGCGCAAGGGACAATTTCTAAAAACACAACGCAAAGCCAAAATCTAACTCAATGGGCCCACCCCTAATCCAAACAAAATCTTCAATGAATTTTTGCTTTTTTCGATAATTGAGATTCATCTCTTTTTGGGATATTCAATCTTCTCATTACTTTAAAAAAATCAAAACTCACAAATTCCAATCCAAAAATATTCTATTTATTGCCTATATACAATTTTCCAAGTATCAAAACTTAAATTAATAAAAAAATTTTTTTGAAAATTTATTATAAATAAAATGTATTCCTTATTTTAAACCCCAAACAAATATTTTATTAATTAATTTATAGGTGTCCTTTATAATTAAGCCAAATTAAAATATAAATCCAAAAGACTTCTCTTTTTTTTTAATTTAAATGCCATTTTGTATTAAATTCTTTTTTTTCTTGATTTATTTACGTTTTTTCTTGTACTAAACAACAACAAAAACAACAATATCTTCTCACATTTCTTTCAAAAAATAAATTCATCACATTTCCCGTTTTTTACTCCAATTATTTTTTGGGGAGAAATATACATAATATAAAGGGTGTTTTCTCTTTATTTAAAAAATACCTTCTATATAAAAAATAAACAATTTCCTAAAAACACGCAAATAAATAATTACAAATATTTATTTTTTAAAAATACCTTTAAATAAATATGGTTGGGATTTAAATTTAAATAAATTCAAATGTACTAAATTTAAAATATCTATAAATTAAAAAATGTTTACTTTTATTTCCAAGAATTTTTAGCAATTAGAGATCGAACCGAGACTAGATCTTGAGCAATACTTTCGGTGCCCTGATCAGAATAACTAAAGGCATCATTTTAAAGGAATAAAGGAGAATTTAAAAATTAAACTGGAACAAACTAAAGAACCTTAGATATAGTAATTATGTATTTAGACAATTCTCTCCCTCTCTCTACATTTTTCAAAATCTAGAATTATTAAAAAAATTAATTATATTTTTTAATAGAAAAATTTTTAAATTGTTGCGAGTACAACAAAAATTTTATTTTTATTTTTAAAAAATATTATAATAAGTATTTTTTATTTTATGTACTTACAATATTTATTAAATTAAAAATCTTTAAAGAATTATTTTTTTATTAAATTTAATTTTTAATTAAATAATATTTTTATGTATATTTTTTTTATTTATTTCCTTCTTTAACATAGCAACCCCCCCCCCCCCCCACATTTAAACTACCTCAAATTTAAAATAAAACTTTTAACAATTTTTAAGTGAGAATATATTTATTTATTATTAAAAAATAAAGATTAATTTTTTTAAAGTTCCTTCTTTTATTTTTATAAAATAATTACTTTAACATTAAAGTAAAGCTTAAATAAAAAAATTTTTGTTTATTCCATAAAATTACTATTTAAAAACTCTAAAATAATAATTTTATTAAATAATTTGTTCTAAAAAATTTATTTGATATATTTTTTTATTATTTTAACTTGTTTTTATGTTAATTATTTTTCCAACAAATTTTTCCCCCATCCTCGCCCCCCCCCTTCCGTGGCGCTGCCTCCCCGAAAATTTTCCCCGTGGCCCTCCCTCCCCCGAACAACCCTAATGTTAATATTCTTTAGAGTTCGAACCCGGGCCGGGCCCGGACCGGTTTTTTCCGGGCCCGGTGGCCCGGAACCGGGTATTTTTGAGAAAATCCGGTTTTTCCGGGCTAACCGGTTTTTCCGGTTTTATCCGGAAAAACCGGCCCGGGTGCGATTTTGAGTAAAAAAACCGGGTCCCGGGCCCGGTAATTTTTTGCCGGGCCCGGAGAGTCGCCTCCGGCGGTGAAAAAGGAAGAAATCTGGCCTCTTGGCCTTTCGAAATTCTCAAAATTTTCGCCTGCGGCGCTGAAAAAAGAAGAAATTTTGCTCCTTGGCCTTCCAAAATTCTCAAAATTTTCGCCTGCGGCGCTAGAAAAAGAAGAAATCTAGCTCCTTGTCCACACAAATTCTGAAAATTTTCGGCTCCACGGTAAAAAACTATGAATCCCTTCGTATCATAATCTTCTATATCCCTCCAAATCACTGATATCACATGGAGGCTTCCCAAATACTTCAAATCCACTTATTTTCCCAGACTACAAATTATTTCAAAAATTGCGGACTGCGGAAATTTTTTTTCATTTGCGGATACCCAGCTATATATCCTTTATCGCATCTATCCTTTGATTCATCTATTCTTTAATCAATCCTTTGTATGTTTTGCGATCCTTTGTATGTGTGATAATTTTTTATGTTTTTAATAAATTTAGAAAAAAAACCGGGTCCGGGCCCGGGTCTGAAAAAATCCGGTTTTTCCGGGCTAACCGATTTTTCCGGTTTTATCCGGAAAAACCGGTCCGGGTGCGATGAGAGAAAAAACCGGGTCCCGGGCCCGGCATTTTGAAAAGTTCGAACTCTAATATTCTTCACTCTTCTAATAATAAAAGATATAGTTTCAATTCGGAACTAAACCGAAAGCCCAGAATTTTTTTTGTTTTTCGGTTCATTTTCTGGATATCCAATTGAATCTTCTGAAATGTTAAAGAAATTTCCTTAACACCACAAATGTTGCATATTCCTAATTAAATTTATTAAGCTTCTAAAAATATTAAAAAATATTTCTGAGGGTATTTAAATGTACTATCTAAATGTACTAATATTATATTAAATAATTATCAATAATTCTACCAAATATTTTCTTATTATCAAACTAAAAATCCTAAATATATTCTCTTTATTTTTCCCTCATTTTCTCATTCATTAATAATTAATTTAAAGAATAAGTTACCGTTTTTTAGGATTTTTATTTTTGAGAAAAATTAGCTAAATAGTTAATAATAATAGAAAAAAAAGGTTTTTTATTGTTTTGCTGTGTCCTAGTATTTTTTTATTACAGAAATATTTCAAAATTAAATAATAAAACTTTTTTCTAAATTCTTTCCCACAGTCTGTATTTAATATTTTATTTTTATATTATTCTTTATTTTCAACTTTCCTAGTATTTTTCCCTTCTTTCAATACAAATTTTTTTCCACAAATAGAAAACGGATTCAGAGAAAGTACGGATTCAGATTCAGAAAACGGATTCAGAGAAAGTACGGATTCAGATTCAGAAAACGGATTCAGAGAAAGTACGGATTCAGATTCAGAAAACGGATTCAGAGGGACGCCATCTTCTGATCGTATCCTGATCTACCACAGCCCGATCTATTGGAGGGCTTGTAACTAATTTTATGAAAATCGAATCTAGTTAACCTTGGAATAACCGGTCGAGCTGGATAGAAAGGAACCGAATCGAGTTTCTAAAGTATTTAATCTATTTTAATATTAAGGTTTCATGTTTTGAAAGTAGTTGGGTTTTTGGATATTTTAATTCTATTAACCCTACATATAATTTTAAATTATCAGAATTTCTATTGTAAAACAAATAAATTAATTTCAATGCTTCAATTCCCATTATGCCCATTTCACACCGACAAAAAATCTTTTATTTTCTTAAATTTTAAGAAAAGATTCTCTCTTAACTATTATTTTAAATAGAAACGGGAAGAAAAAAGAAAAAAAGTTTTTTTCCCATCAGAAAAACTTGGTAAATTTTTAA